TGTCCTCTTTCCTTTTGCTCGGTTTCTGACTGAGAGACGCTTTCAGACGATGCACGGCCGAGGAATAATGAGCAGGCCTGATCAGCTTCAGCTTCAGCCTCACTTTAAATCTGTTTGTGGAATAAAATCAGAACGAACCCAAATGAAAAAGAATGGAAATGGAGATGAGCCTGGGCACCGCTCGGCCGGTGGAGCCCGAGCCTCTTCACCAGGACACGTCTCCAACACTTCGCTTCACTGACCTGTGGATTCCATGTCCGGCTCCTCCAGCAGCCCACAGTGCATCCTCTCCCATCCACGACGCCCGCTCGCTCCGAGAAAACCACCCAGACGCGGGCGTAAGGCTCCCCCCCACGGCTCGCCCGGCTCGCCCTGCTCTCTGCCCCCGAGTCCCTGGCTCCTTCTCCTCGCTCCTTCTCCTCGCTCCTTCTCCTCGCTCCTTCTCCTCGCTCTCTCTGTGACCACCGGCCGTCCCTGAGGATGAGGGGAACTGAGAGGGCGCACGGAGGAGGAGGAGGAGGAGAGAGCGGTGGGCTGGTGCGTGAGGAGGAGGAGGAGGAAGAAGAGGAGGAGGAAGAAGAAGAGGAGAGGAGGGAGGGGGGTCTGAGCCGTCAAAATGTTTGCTGATGTTTCATGGGAAAGGAGCTGGTTTTATTGGAGCCCTGATGGGGGGACTTGTCATTGATAGGCTTGGACGGGTGAATGGGTCCGAGTCAGGGGATGTGGCGAGGCTCACTGGAGCCTTTTGTCGAGCTGTTTTGAATAAGAAAGACCCCCCCCCCACAAAAAAGAGAGAGAGAGAGTTGGATCCACACAAGTGTTAACGCAGTGGCCTCCCCGGCTTAGATTATGGCTTTTAATATGTTTTACACAACTCACAGACTAAAACACACACTCACACACACACACAGACCACGACACACACTCACACACTCACACACACACACACCACGACACACACTCACACACACAGACCACGACACACACACGACTCCAAACCAGACACCTGTTGCTCAAACTTTTGCAGACTCCTTCAGAGCAGGACACGTTTTTCGGGGGGTTTCTGTGCAGGTTCTGGTTCAGTTCTGGTCTGGTTCTGGTTCCGTGGAGGGTCTGGTCCGGTTCCGGGCAGGTTCTGGTCGTTTTTTTTTTTTTTTTGAGGCTCTTTTCTTGAACCTTATTTTGGAGCCTCTAAAGAGAAAAGCGACGGGACCGGCCACAAAAGAGGGGGAAGTGAAAGTGCAAAGAGGCGGAGGGTCGGACGGAGGGAGCGAGCTGGAGCTGGAGGAGGAAAAGCTGTGATTAGAATATGAATAGACCCACGGGAGAGAGAGAGAAGAGGAGAGGAGAGAGAGAGAGAGAGAGAGAGAGAGAGAGAGAGAGAGAGAGAGAGAGAGAGAGAGAGAGAGAGAGAGGGAGAGAGAGAGAGAGAGAGAGAGAGAGAGAGAGAGAGAGAGAGAGAGAGAGAGAGAGAGAGAGAGAGAGAGAGAGAGAGAGAGAGAGAGAGAGAGAGAGAGAGAGAGAGAGAGAGAGAGAGAGAGAGAGAGAGAGAGAGAGAGAGAGAGAGAGAGAGAGAGAGAGAGAGAGAGAGAGAGAGAGAGAGAGAGAGAGACCGGGTGGAAGACAGAGAGAGAGAAAGGGGGGAAAAGGAAAGGGCAAAGAGAGAGAAGAGAGAGAAAAGAGAAGGAGAGGGGAGGGGTTAGAGAGAAATAGATGGAAAGAAAAGAAAGAGAAGAAGAAGAGGGAGAGAGAAAAGAGAAGAGAGGGATGGAGGGATGGAGGGATGGAGGGATGGAGGGAGGGAGGGAGGGAGGGAGGAGGATTATGTGTGAATTCCTCTCCACTCTCTGGTTCGTCTCTGGAGGAGGTTTTGGAGAGAGAGAAACGTGTGTGTGGGTCAAACAGCTGAAGAACCAGAAGACGAGAGAACGAGGGAACAGAACACGGAACATGGAACAGAACATGGAACAGAACATGGAACAGAACAGGAACAGAACATGGAACAGAACATGGAACAGAACATGGAACAGAACATGGAACAGAACATGGAACAGAACTAAACGCTGAACAGAATCGTTGCCAACACAGAATGTCCGTCTCTTCTCTGATTGGCTGATGAACTCGACACTTCCAGGGTTTTTGTAAATCGTCTGGTGTTTTCTGATTCCTGATCTGGAGCTGGAGACAAATGAACCTGAGTGTCGACACCAGGAGGCGCCAGACTCATGATTTACAACCAGGAAATAAACATTTAAACCTAAAAAAAAGTCCAAACTGGGAAACGAGTGAAAGTTTTTGCAGAAATGTGTTTTAGTAAAAAGCGTCGGTCACTTGAACCCTCCCGTTTCCCCCCGTGTTTTTGTGTTCTTCCTCTGGTCCGGCTCCTCACACACACTTCCCTCACCCCAGACACTTCCTCCTGCTCCTCTGCTGGGACCTCAGGGTGTCCCCAGACCAGCCCAGAGACACCGTCCCTCCAGCCAGATCCTCCCCCGAGCTCCTCCCTCTGGGACATAAAAAGCTTCTCCAGGAGGCGTCCAGATGCCCTCCCCCAGTGGAGAAGAGCAGCGGCTCTAGTCCGAGCTCCTCCACTGTGACTCAGCTCCTCCCCCGTCTCTGAGAGCAGGACTAGACCAGGACTAAACCAGGACTAAACCAGGACTAAACCAGGACTAAACCAGACTAAACCAGAACTAAACCAGGACTAAACCAGGACTAAACCAGGACTAAACCAGGACTAAACCAGAACTAAACCAGGACTAAACCAGGACTAAACCAGGACTAAACCAGGACTAAACCAGGACTAAACCAGAACTAAACCAGGACTAAACCAGGACTAAACCAGGACTAAACAGGAAACAAACCCTAGGACTAAACCAGGACTAAACCAGAACTAAACCAGGACTAAACCAGGACTAAACCTAAACCAGGAATAAAACCAGGACTAAACCAGGACTAAACCAGGACTAAACTGGAATAAACCAGGACTAAACCAGGAATAAACCAGGACTAAACCAGGACTAAACCAGGACTAAACCAGGACTAAACCAGGACTAACTAAACCAGGACTAAACCAGACTAAACAGGACTAAACCAGACTAAACCAGACTAAACCAGGACTAAACCAGGACTAAACCAGGAACTAAACCAGGACTAAACCAGGACTAAACCAGGACTAAACCAGAACTAAACCAGGACTATAAACCAGGACTAAACCAGGGACTAAACCAGGACTAAACCAGGAACTAAACCAGGACTAAACCAGGACTAAACCAGAACTAAACCAGGAATAAACCAGGACTAAACCAGGACTAAACCAGGACTAAACCTGGACTAAACCTAAACCAGGACTAAACCACCAGGACTAAACCAGAACTAAACCAGGACTAAACCAGGACTAAACCTGGAATAAACCAGGACTAAACCAGGACTAAACCAGGACTAAACCTGGAATAAACCAGGACTAAACCAGGACTAAAAAAACCAGGACTAAACCAGGACTAAACCAGGACTAAACCAGGACTAAACCAGGACTAAACCAGGACTAGGACCCAGGACTAAACCAGGACTAAACCAGGACTAAACTAAACCAGGACTAAACCAGGACTAAACCAGGACTAAACCAGGACTAAACCAGGAACTAAACCAGAACTAAACCAGGACTAAACCAGAACTAAACCAGGACTAAACCAGGACTAAACCAGGACTAAAACCAGAACTAAACCAGGACTAAACCAGGACTAAACCAGGACTAAACCAAGACTAGAGCAGGACTAAACCAGAACTAAACCAGAACTAAACCAGAAAACCAGGACTAAACCAGGAACTAAACCAGGACTAAACCAGAACCAGGACTAAACCAGGACTAAACCAGACTAAACCAGACTAAACCTAAACCAGGACTAAAAACCAGGACTAAACCAGGACTAAACCAGGACTAAACCAGGACTAAACCAGGACTAAACCAGGACTAAAACCAGGACTAAACCAGAACTAAACCAGGACTAAACCAGGACTTAAACCAGAACTAAAACCAGGACTAAACCAGGACTAAACCAGGACTAAACCAGGACTAAACCAGACTAAACCAGGAATAAACCAGACTAAAACCAGGACTAGACCAGGACTAAACCAGGACTAAACCAGGACTAAACCAGGACTAAACCAGGACTAAACCAGGACTAAACCAGGAACTAAACCAGGACTAAACCAGGACTAAACAGGACTAAAACCAGAACTAAACCAGAAAACTAAACCAGACTAAACCAGAACTAAACCAGGACTAAACCAGGACTAAACCAGGAACTAAACCAGAACTAAACCAGACTAAACCAGACTAAACCAGGACTAAACCAGGACTAAACCAGGACTAAACCAGGACTAAAGGACTAAACCAGACTAAACCAGACTAAACCAGGACTAAACCAGGACTAAACCAGAACTAAACCAGGACTAAACCAGGACTAAACCAGACTAAACTAAACCAGAACTAAACCAGGAATAAACCAGGACTAAACCAAACCAGGACTAAACCAGAACTAAAACCAGGACTAAACCAGGACTAAACCAGGACTAAACCAGGACTAAACCAGGACTAAACCAGGACTAAACCAGGACTAAACCTAAACCAGGACTAAACCAGGACTAAACCAGGAACTAAACCAGGACTAAACCAGGACTAAACCAGAAAAACCAGGACTAAACCAGGACTAAACCAGGACTAAACCAGGACTAAACCAGGACTAAACCAGGACTATAAACCAGGACTAAACCAGGACTAAACCAGGACTAAACCAGGACTAAACCAGGACTAAACCAGGACTAAACCAGACTAAACCAGGACTAAACCAGGACTAAACCAGGACTAAACCAGGACTAAACCAGGACTAAACCAGGACTAAACCAGAACTAAACCAGAACTAAACCAGGACTAAACCAGGACTAAACCAGAACTAAACCAGAACTAAACCAGGACTAAACCAGGACTAAACCAGGACTAAACCAGGACTAAACCAGGACTAAACCAGGACTAAACCAGGACTAAACCAGGACTAAACCAGGACTAAACCAGACTAAACAGGACTAAACCAGGACTAAACCAGGACTAGGACTAAACCAGGACTAAACCAGGACTAAACCAGGACTAAACCAGGACTAAACCAGGACTAAACCAGGACTAAACCAGGACTAACCAGGACTAAACCAGACTAAACCAGGACTAAACCAGGACTAAACCAGGACTAAACAGACTAAACCAGGACTAAACCAGGACTAAACCAGGACTAAACCAGAACTAAACCAGACTAAACCAGACTAAACCAGGACTAAACCAGGACTAAACCAGGATAAACCAGGACCAGGACTAAACCAGAACTAAACCAGGACTAAACCAGGACTAAACCAGGACTAAACCAGGACTAAACCAGGACTAAACCAGGACTAAACTAAACCAGGACTAAACCAGGACTAAACCAGGACTAAACCAGGACTAAACCAGGACTAAACCAGGACTAAACCAGGACTAAACCAGGACTAAACCAGGACTAAACCAGGACTAAACCAGACTAAACCAGGACTAAACCAGGACTAAACCAGGACTAAACCACCAGGACTAAACCAGACTACCAGACTAAACCAGGACTAAACCAGGACTAAACCAGAACTAAACCAGGACTAAACCAGGACTAAACCAGAACTAAACCAGACTAAACCAGGACTAAACCAGGACTAAACCAGGACTAAACCAGGACTAAACCAGGACTAAACCAGAACTAAACCAGAAAACCAGACTAAACCAGGACTAAAACAGACTAAACCAGGACTAAACCAGGACTAAACCAGAACTAAACCAGGACTAAACCAGGACTAAACCAGGACTAAACCAGGACTAAACCAGGACTAAACCAGGACTAAACCAGGACTAAACCAGGACTAAACCAGGACTAAACCAGGACTAAACCAGGACTAAACCAGGACTAAACCAGGACTAAACCAGGACTAAACCAGGTAAACCAGGACTAAACCAGGACTAAACCAGGACTAAACCAGACTAAACCAGGACTAAACCAGGACTAAACCAGAACTAAACAGACTAAACCAGGACTAAACCAGATAAACCAGGACTAAACCAGGACTAAACCAGGACTAAACCAGGACTAAAACCAGGACTAAACCAGAAAAACCAGGACTAAACCAGGACTAAACCAGGACTAAACCAGAACTAAACCAGGACTAAACCAGGAAGGACTAAAACCAGGACTAAACCAGAAAACTAAACCAGGACTAAACCAGGGACTAAACCAGAACTAAACCAGGACTAAACCAGGACTAAACCAGAACTAAACCAGGACTAAACCAGAACTAAACCAGGACTAAACCAGGACTGACTAAACCAGAACTAAACCAGGACTAAACCAGAACTAAACCAGGACTAAACCAGGACTAAACCAGGACTAAACCAGAACTAAACCAGGACTAAACCAGAACTAAACCAGACTAAACCAGACTAAACCAGGACTAAACCAGGACTAAACCAGGACTAAACCAGGAACTAAACCAGAACTAAACCAGGACTAAAACCAGGACTAAACCAGAACTAAACCAGGACTAAACCAGGACTAAACCAGGAAAACTAAACCAGACTAAAACCAGGACTAAACCAGACTAAACCAGACTAAACCAGGACTAAACCAGAACTAAACCAGAACTAAACCAGGACTAAACCAGGACTAAACCAGGGACTAAACCAGAACTAAACCAGAACTAAACCAGACTAAACCAGAACTAAACCAGGACTAAACCAGAACTAAACCAGACTAAACCAGGACTAAACCAGGACTAAACCAGGACTAAACCAGGACTAAACCAGGACTAAACCAGGACTAAACCAGAACTAAACCAGACTAAACCAGAACTAAACCAGAAAACCAGAACTAAACCAGGAACTAAACCAGAACTAAACCAGACTAAACCAGGACTAAACCAGGACTAAACAGGACTAAACCAGGACTAAACCAGGACTAAACCAGGACTAAACCAGGACTAAACCAGGAGTAAACCAGGACTAAACCAGGACTAAACCAGGACTAAACCAGAGACTAAACCAGACTAAACCAGGAAAAACTAAACCAGGACTAAACCAGGAACTAAACCAGGACTAAACCAGGAAAACCTAAACCAGGACTAAACCAGGAACTAAACCAGGAAAACCAGGATAAACCAGGACTAAACCAGGACTAAACCAGGAAACCAGGATAAACCAGGACTAAACCAGGACTAAACCAGGACTAAACCAGGACTAAACCAGGTAAACCAGGACTAAACCAGGAGTAAACCAGGACTAAACCAGAACTAAACCTGGATTAAACCAGGACCATAGGTGAGGGCAGAACCAGAATTACAGACTCAGAAAAATAATCAGACTTGTTACGACTCAAACCAAACACCTCAGAGTTTCATTCTGTTATTTATTTGCTCCAGTTCATGTTTTGAACAAGATTTAAAGTCTTTGATGATTCAGCTTCAGACTTTGGCTTCAGTTTTAGTTTATCATTTATACTGAAATTATTTTTATTAGAAAATACATCACTCTTCTTGTTTTGGTGACACCTTAAAAAAACTGAATTACAAAATCTAAGAGCAAAAATAAACAATCTACATTAACAAAAAGTGCCACACAATTCAAACAATTCAAACATGAACATTTATTATTTACACAAAACAAAAATAAACTGGAAAAAACAGAACTTTACATTTCAACAGAACATTATTTTAACTCTGTTCTCTTCAGTGCAGAAATAAATCTATCCACTGAAAAACAATGAACTCCTCAAGATGTTTCCTGGAGAACTTGTTCTTCTGCAGGACTCGTTTGTTCTTCTGCAGGACTCGTTTGTTCTTCTGCAGGACTCGTTTGTTCTTCTGCAGGACTCGTTTGTTCTTCTGCAGGACTCACTCTCCTGGTTCTTCTGGAAGATTCATTCGTTGTAGCGCGACAGTTTGAGGCGGGGGATGATGTTCATGGACTGAAGCTCCTGGAACAGAAGTTTGCAGGCGTACGGGATCCTCAGGGTCGACACGTGACATGAAGATTTACAATAGTGACACCTGCAGGCAGAAGGTGGGAAATACACCTTAGTCTAAAACAGTGATAAAACAAAACATATTATATCAACTGTTCTGAATCAATTTGATTTTCCTAAAAACTAAAATAAAAATGTCTTTCAGTATTAATTTCCTGAACATAAATAAGTCAGAATTTCTCTTTAAAGTAGAACATCTGGTTTCCCGTCCAGAGTCTTGAAAAAGCATTTTATATGAACGCACTTTTATCAAACTTAAAGAACCACGTGACACACAACTGAACACATGATGACAGCTGAGGGCTGAATACTGCAGTACTGCAGTACTGCAGTACTGTAAGTCCTGTGACTACTTTCAAAAAAATATCAGACCCCTCAGTTTTACTGATTGATCTAATTCCAAATCACACTCTCAGTTAAAGAATTTACATTTATTATTATTACATTTTTGTGGAAATTATTAATATACATATATATATATATATATATATATATATATATATATACTGCAAAACTACGGTGGCCATGTCGCGGTCTTCACTCTCACCTTTCACTGGCACAGAAATAATAAATTTATTTTATTTTCCTGTTTGTATAATGTTAAAATAAATAGTTGGTTTAATAAAAACTCAAACAACAAACAAATGGTTTTACATTTTGTTCCCAAACACCTCTCATATATATAAATATATAAACACATGTTTCAAGTGTATAAAGTGACCGACCAGCCCGAGTATCCCAGCAGGCCGCACTGTCCACACACGTCCACCTCAAACGCGTCGCTGGAAATCATGAGTCGCTCCAGCAGCAACATACTGGCCCCGTAACCGATCAGACAGTCCCTCTCCATCTCCCCCAGACGGAGGCCCCCGTCCCTCGAGCGGCCCTCAGTCGGCTGCCTGAACCACACAAACACAACCGGTACAGACAGGGGGCGGAGACACGTACAGACAGACAGACAGGAGGCGGAGACACGTACAGACAGACAGACAGGAGGCGGAGGACACATACAGACAGACAGACAGGAGGCGGAGACACATACAGACAGACAGGGGGGCGGAGACATGTACAGACAGACAGACAGGGGGCGGGGACACGTACAGACAGACAGACAGGGGCGGGGACACGTACAGACAGACAGACAGACAGGAGGCGGAGGACACATACAGACAGACAGACAGGAGGCGGAGACACAGTACAGACAGACAGACAGGGGGCGGGGACACGTACAGACAGACAGGAGGCGGAGACACGTACAGACAGACAGACAGGAGGCGGAGACACATACAGACAGACAGACAGGGGCGGGGACACATACAGACAGACAGACAGGGGGCGGGGACACGTACAGACAGACAGACAGACGGGGGCGGGGACACGTACAGACAGACAGACAGGAGGCGGAGACATGTACAGACAGACAGACAGGGGCGGAGACACGTACAGACAGACAGACAGGAGGTGGGGACACGTACAGACAGACAGACAGGAGGTGGGGACACGTACAGACAGACAGACGGGGGCGGAGACACGTACAGACAGACAGACAGGAGGTGGGGACACGTACAGACAGACAGACAGGAGGTGGGACACGTACAGACAGACAGACAGGGGGCGGAGACACGTACAGACAGACAGACAGGAGGTGGGGGACACGTACAGACAGACAGACGGGGGGCGGAGACACGTACAGACAGACAGGAGGCGGGGACATGTACAGACAGACAGGGGGCGGGGACACGTACAGACAGACAGACAGGAGGCGGAGACACGTACAGACAGACAGGAGGCGGGGACATGTACAGACAGACAGACAGGAGGCGGAGACACGTACAGACAGACAGGGGGCGGGGACACGTACACAGATTCTGATTCAGTCTAAAACTACAAACTGCAGAGGGTAACGTGTTATTGATTGGATATTTGGAGTAACTGTTGTATTTGGAAAACAAAGTACAATTTCTTTTTTATTCTTTTTTAAATATTTAATATTTTTACCACATTAGCTCATCTCCTCAGAGAAATCAGATTACTGCATCTAAAGTTTAAATGAAGTCTCCAGAAATCAGATTATGATCAGATTTCTGGTGTACATGTGATTATCAGGACTTTGGCTCAGATTCAAAATCAAGTTTAAAATGTTAGAATCATAAAAACCCTACAGCTCCTTGAATATTCTCAGGGTCGGACATTGTCGTTACCTGGTGAGGACGGCCCGCGGCCCTCGAGCTCTCGCGTGCATTTTATCCAACACCATGTGCTTCAGTTTCTGGTAATAGATGGGTCCAAAGTAAATGTACGCCTCCAGCGGCTCTCTGCACAACAACAGGATTTACACAACGGTCAGTCGGGATGAAACAAGATCAAACTCTCTCAGTACGAGATTATCACGATATCCAAACTTCACGGTACGTTATTTACGACGATATTTCAAAGAGGCTGATGTATTTGTAGATGGGAAGCTTTTTTGCTTTTAAAATACCATGACAAGATTTTGGTGAAAATTATTTCTATCATAATCCCAAGAATTTATGCATCATGAATTTCAAACTTCTGGTCATCGTACAATTCACACTGGGAAGGATCCTCCGAAAAAGTGAACATCAAACCTCCATGTTTGTTTTCCCAGTGGGATGTGTCTATTGTCAAAGTCGAACTTTTCAAGTCTTTTGAACCATATCACTTTTGTTTCTGGTTCTGATATTGTCATATTTTAGTTTTGGGATTCGGACGTCGTAATTGTTGTGGTTGTTGGATCCTAACAGCGGAAAACGGCGTTCGGAAGTTAAGCGAACTCCATTGTTGTCGCTCCACATACAAAATGTTCTCTGTAAACTCGGGATGATTTCTTAGTGAGACAAATGTTTCCTTTTTGGTTCTTCCCGTGGATCAATCCTGCCCATCACCTTCACCTTTCACTATTTTTCAATTCCCTTTGGAAGAGAAACAGTTTGAACAGAGGTTTGAGTCTCACACATCTGATTCACTTTTGTATTTATGGAGTTCGCAAAAAAATTTCTCGAGTCGTTTTCCGCTGTTAGGATCCAACAACCACAACAATTACGACGTCCGAATCCCAAAACTAAAATATGACAATATCAGAACCAGAAACAAAAGTGATATGGTTCAAAAGACTTGAAAAGTTCGACTTTGACAATAGACACGTCCCACTGGGAAAACAAACATGGAGGTTTGATGTTCACTTTTTAGGAAAATCCTTCCCAGTATGAATTGTACGGTGACCAGAAGTCTGAGATTCGTGATGCTTGTATTCAAGTAAAAACATATTTCTTCATGTCGTCTGCACTGAAATGAATCATGGGAAATGTAGTTCTCGATGTTTATAAGCTGTTGCTTCTATAAAACCTGCATTAAAGCAAAGAAATGTGTAATTCGATCTATTGTGACGCCTCATGATATTATTCTGAGATTTTCTTTGACGATGGTTTTTGTTACATCTCTGCCTGTTAGTGTTTAAAAGTTGAGTTCTTTGTGCAGTTTGAGGAGTTTAAAGTCGTTACCCGGTGATGCCCGACGTCACGTAGTCTTTGCCCTGGTAGTTGTACCCGTAGCGGATCAGGTCCTCGCACACGTCCTTCACTTTGCTCCCTCCGAACGCCGTGCCGTAGTGGAAGCGCCCGTCCAACACGCCCGCCTTCCCCGCCAGGAGCTCGATCAGTTTACCCACCTGCACAACAATCAGCAGGTGAGAGAAGCGCCTTAGAGACGAGCTTTCTGACACTTTAGACTTTAACCTGACGTGCAGCGCTTCAACGACGCGTGATTTTGAGGAAATCTAAATCCGGCTGCTGTTTGATCCAAATAAAACTGTTCCTTTACAAACTCATTTTGGGCTCATGTCGGAGCCTAAACACACGGAGCTGCGGCCGAGGGAACAATGACTCTCAGGTCACATCCACACGACCTCTGACCTCTGACCCCGGCACATAAAAGGAAACACCGACTCTCATTTCACTCCCGACACAGAGACATTTCACTGCCGTCTCCATGACGACCACGGAGAGTAAACACGAGGCGCTGACGACTGGACACAAAGATTATTCACTTTTACAGTGCGAAGGAGCCGAGCGTCAGAGTCTCAAAGGTTTGATCCAACTTACACTCACACTTACTTGTACTCTCTTTCACCGACAACATTTCCAAACTTTTTCATGATCTAATGTGAATTTTCCATGACTTTACGGCTCCTACGTGTGTAGAACTGATCAGACTTTTAGGTCTAAATCTGAAATGTTTAACTCTTTCCACTCACCTTATGGTTTGGGATTAAAGTTTTTGAACATTCTAAATCCTGTCAGAATTTTTTTCCCAAATATTTTTATTAAGAACATTAACAGAAAATATACAATGAAATATACAGTTAACTTGTCTTTTTTTTTCCCTCCAGTTGCTCATGCACAGTGTAATAAACCTGCATAAAATACAAGCATCAACAATAAACATGTAAAAAAAAAAAAAAGGATTTTTTTCTTTTTCATAAAGAACATTTCCATCCTGACTCATCTCAGCTCGTCGTTAAACCACAAACACAAAGCTCCATCAATTAAATATTAAATATTCCAAATCACAGAATCAACAGGTCACAATTACAACTACAGCTAAAACCTGGAACAGTCTGAACATGTGAGACAGACTCTTAATTTTAATCTTTATGATTATTTATGTTTTGATTTGTTTTATTATGATTTTAAATGTATTTCTTATTCTGTAAGGCACTTTGAATTAATTTGTGTACGAATTGTGCTGTACAAATAAACTTAACTTGCCTTGCCTTAATTGTACATTCATATCGGTGACACTCGCATATTAGAAAAACAAGAAATAAAGCATTACCATATCTGGAAAACTATCTGTACATCCCCTTAATGTATATTTATTTTTTTCAAGTTTTAGAAATACCACCATATGTTTAAGCCATAGTGAAATCCTGTCAGTGCATTTACTGTCGTCTCTTTTAAACCTAGTGCCTCGGCTCAATTTCATTTCTCTCCAGGAATCAGAAAACACTGGACGGTTTGAAGAAACCCAGAAGTTGTAGACGCACACCGGCCAATCAGAGAAGAGCAGAACCAGCCCGAGTTTCGATATCAGACTGCAGACGCTCTCCTCCTCTGCACTTCCTTTGTCAAATACAAACTTCGCATTTTTTATTGCACCTTTAATTCACAAGTTCATCTCACAGAAACGTCATGTTCACTCTGATTTGTTTGCTGTTGTGCCGTTGGGCAATTACACGACACCACCGAGTATCCCAGAGCATTACAAACATCACGACCAAACAGCAGCGGTTGGTTAAATAAAACAAAACAAAACCTGCCTACCGTCAAGAGAACGAATCCTAATGTCACACGGTTTACACCAAGTGAAACCAACTCATGAATCAGACCAAACAAAAGATGCAAATGTTTGGAAATAACCATAATATCATTCTCCTTAGACATGAGAACTTAACAGAACGCTGGAGCTGTGGGAAAGAGAAACTTAAATCCATGACTTTACCAAAGCTTTCATTGAATTTAAAAATTCCATGACTTTTCCAGGCTTGGAACGTGACATTTTCAATTTCCATGACTTCTCAAGGATTTCCATGACCGGACAGGACAGGGACTGGGGGGAGACTCTGGTCCAGAGGAGGAAGACGGGAGCAGGACTCAGGATTTCACTATGACGTCTCCTCCTCACAAACGAGTTCTTCTCTCAAACAGAAAACACTCTGTTCCACCTTCTGATGTCATCATGTGGTGATACAGGAAGTGCTCCACTGTGTTTTTAAACTCCACACACCTACACTGGAATCATTTGGATCATTTCAGTCCTGGAGTCGCCGATCTCGACTGAACTAAAGGGAAAAGGAGCTGAGAACTTGAAAACTACCACTTTGTGACATCACGAGGTGGAACAGAGCGTTTGGAGACTGAGACTAAGACAAAACACAACTTCAGGTGTGTTTTGGAGGGTGAAACGTACGGAAGCCGAGAGGGGTCACAACAAACGCAAACGCCGCAACACAAACGCAAATGCCGCACACACTAAAAAGCCACAACACATTAAAAAGCCACAACACATTAAAAAGCCACAGCAGAAGTGACCGCAGGACTCTATTTTCCGATGGACCGATCAAGCGGCGAAGTGAAGAAGAAGAACTACAACGTGAAACGAATAATGATAAAACAATAAATTACTTTTACTTACATTTCCAACTTTTCTGTTCCTTTACTTTTCACATTGTAGTTCTTCTTCTTCACTTGCCGCTTGATCGGTCCGTCGGAAAATAGAGTCCTGCGGTCACTTCCGTTATGGCTTTTTAATGTGTTGTGGCTTTTTAATGTGTTGCGTTTTTTTGATGTTTTGTGGCTTTTTAATGTGTTGCAGATTTTTAATGTGTTGTGGCTTTTTAATGTGTTGCAGATTTTTAATGTGTTGTGGCTTTTTGATGTGTTGCGGCCTTTTTATGTGTTGTGGCTTTTTAAAGTGTTGTGGCATTTTAACGTGTTGTGGCTTTTTAATGTGTTGTGGCATTTGCCTTTGTGTTGTGGCGTTTGTATTTGTTGTGGTGTTTGCATTAAAATAGAGTCCCGCGGTCATTTCCGTTGTGGCTTTTTAATGTGTTGCGTTTTTTTGATGTTTTGCGGCTTTTTAATGTGTTGCAGATTTTTGTGTTGTTTTTAATGTGTTGTGGCTTTTGATGTGTTGCGGCCTTTTGATGTGTTGCGGCTTTTTGATGTGTTGCGGCTTTTATGTGTTGTGGATTTGCTTTGTGTTGTGGCGTTTGTATTTGTTGTGGTGTTTGATTAAAGTGTTTCGGTTGTGGCTTTTTAATGTGTTGTGGCTTTTTAATGTGCGTTTTTTGTGTTTTGCGCTTTTTAATGTGTGCAGATTTTTTGTGTTGTGGCTTTTTGATGTGTTGCGGCCTTTTGATGTGCTTTTTGTGGTGGCTTTTGATGTGTTGCGGCTTTTTGATGTTGTGGTTCGTGTTGTTTTTTAACGTTTTTTTATGTTGCCTTTTGTTTGTGTTGTGGCGTTTGTATTTGTTGTGGTGTTTGCATTAAAATAGAGTCCCGCGGTCATTTCCGTTGTGGCTTTTTAATGTGTTGTGGCTTTTTAATGTGTTGCGTTTTTTTGATGTTGCGGCTTTTTAATGTGTTGCAGACTTTTAATGTGTTGTGGCCTTTTGATGTGTTGCGGCCTTTTGATGTGTTGCGGCCTTTTGATGTGTTGCGGCTTTTTGATGTGTTGCGGCTTTTTGATGTGTTTGTGGCTTTTGTGTTGTGGCTTTTTAACGTGTTGTGGCATTTTAACGTGTTGTGTTTTTAACGTGTTGTGGCTTTTTAACGTGTTGTGGTGTTTTAAGGTGTCGTGGCATTTGCCTTTGTGTTGTGGCGTTTGTATTTGTTGTGGTGTTTGCATTAAAATAGAGTAACGCGGTCATTTCCGTTGTGGCTTTTTTTGGTTTGTTGTGGCTTTTTGTTGTGTTGCCGCATTTGTATTTGTCGCGGCGTTTGTGTTTGTTGCGACCCCTCTCGGCTTCCGTAGAAACGGCGTCAGAACGTGGCTTAAAGAGCTCGAGAGTCAGTTTTGTGTGATACTGGACCCTTAAAAACATGGAGTGTGCAGATGCAGATGTTACCGTCATTCTGGAGGGGTATCCGTGAGGGTTCATGATCACGTCAGGGCAGATGCCAGTGTCACAGAAGGGCATGTCCTCCTGCGGGACGATCAGGCCGCAAACACCTGGTACACACACAGAGAGACACACACACACACACACACACACACACAGAGAGACACACACACACACAGACACACAAACACACACAACTTGGATTATTCTGTGTATTATTAAGATGCTGTTTATTCTCCATTTTATGCCAATATAAACTTTTACGTGTCGTTGTAAATAGACATGCAAGGATCACACTTTTTTCAATATTGATACCGATACCGATGTCGATACTTTGACTTTAACTATCGACTGATACCCGATATGATCCGATCGGTTGTGCGTCTGTGTGCGTTGTGTGTGTGTGTGCGTCGGTTGTGTGTGTGCATGTGTGTGTGTGCATGTCTGTGTGTGTGTGTGCGTGGGATGTGTGATCGGTGTCGGCTCGCAGGCCTCGACTCTTCTTCTTCTTCTTCCTCTGGTTTGATTCTAAATATTTGCTCGGGGGTCGAGTCTTTCTCCCTGGAAATGGCAAACACATCGTAGAGTCATTTACAAACGAAACACAGAAAAAAGAAAAGAAAAGAAAAGAAAAGAAAGGACACAGGAAGTGGAGGAAGGTGCTTAGTCCACAGAGAGAGAGAGAAGGAAGGAGAGAAGGAGAGAAGGAGAGAGAGAAGGAGAGAGAGAGAGGAGAGAGAGAAGGAGAGAGAGGAGAGAGAGAAGGAGAGAGAGAGGAGAGAGGAGAGAGAGGAGAGAGAGAAGGAGAGAGAGAAGGAGGAGAGAAGGAGAGAGGAGAGAGAGAGAAGGAGAGAGAGAAGGGAGAAGGAGAGAGAGAGAGAGAGAAGGAGAGGGGGATTACACACGTTCAGCTCAGATGAAGTGAAGGAAAAACTGAACCGAACACATGGGAAAAATACACTCTGACCTGAACAGCTGATGCACCGAACACACACACACACACACACACACACACATATACACACACACAACACACACTATACACACACACAACACACACACACTATACACACACACACACACACACACACACACACACACTATACACACACACAAGACACACACACACTATACACACACACACACACACACACACACACACTATACACACACACACACACACACACACTATACACACACACACACACACTATACACACACACACACACACACACACACACACACACACACACACACTATACACACACACACACACACACACTATACACACACACACTATACACACACACACACACACACACACACACTATACACACACACACACACTATACACACACACACACACACACACGACACACACACACACATATACACACACACACACACACACACACACACACACTATACACACACTATACACACACACACACACACACTATACACACACACACACACACACACTATACACACACACACACACACACACACTATACACACACACACACACACACACACAAGACACACACACACAAGACACACACACACTATACACACACACACACACACTATACACACACACACGACACACACACACACACACACTATACACACACACACACACACACACTATTACACACACACACTATACACACTATACTATACACACACACACACACAGACACACACACACATACACACACACACACACGACACACACACACATTATACACACACACGACACACACACGACACACACACACACTACACACACTATACACACACACTATACACACATACACACACACACACACTATACACACTATACACACACACAAGACACACACACACATACACACACAAGACACACACACACATACACACACACACACACACACTATACACACACACAAGACACACACAAGACACACACACGACACACACACGGGGAGCAGACTCTGACTGCGCGGGGAGACTCTGGGCGTGGGGGGGCCAGAATCTGGGCACTTGGGCAGATTCTGACCACGAGGGGGCAGACTCTGACCACGAGGGGGCAGACTCTGACCACGAGGGTCTGGAGGGGGGGCAGACTCTGGGGGGGGGGCAGACTCTGGGCGGGGGGGGGGCAGACTCTGGGCGCGGGGGGGGCAGACTGGGGGGGCAGACTCTGGCTCCAGCTCAGACTCAGTTTGTTTGTTTTGTGTGAAAGTGAAAGATAAAAGAGGCGTGAAATCAGCAGAGAAAAGCAGGACAAGAGTCAAACCCCCCCGTCCCCCGACCCCCCCAGAGGCGCTTCATCACCCCCGTCACCCTCCAGACCCCCCCCCCCAGCCTCCATCACTCGACACTCGACCCCCTGTTGCCCCCCCCCCCCCCTCCTCTGGTTAATCAGTGACGGGTTCGGGTCGTCGTCCCTCAGGATCCACACACAGTAAAACCCACACGGAGACGAGTCTTAAAGAGGCTCCTGTTCCTTTTGTTCTTCTAATAAAAGTTCATGTTTTGGCCGCGGCACAAACGCTGTTGTGTTGTCGTTACCGTGACGACAAAACTCTCAAAGTCGTGAAAAGAATTTAAAAACTCATCAGGTGAATAATTATAGAGCGACAGAAATGTGTTAAAGGCTGCGTTCAGTCTGCACCTGAAGTTCCCAAATCTGATTTTTTGGCTCTATGTTCCTGTATCTGATCTTTTAATGACGTCTGAACCACACAGATCTGATTTTTTCAAATGTGACCCAGGACTAGGGATGGGCATGATTAATCAATGAATCGATAATTGATCATTAAGAATTTCATCGATTATGTTCATTTTAATGGACAAACCGAAAGTATGTTTGTGTGTCGTGACCAAACAGGTGTGTACATGTGTCTCTGCATCAGAAGGAGCGAGACACAAACAGTGGGTCAGTCTGTAACGAACCGAAGCACAAATGTGGATTTAACCAGGATTTGTAGAAGAAATTCCACACTTTCCGTTGCGTTGGGACAAGTGTGAGTCCATGTGCACAGTGGATAAAGCAGCACATATGTTTCTGTGTCCAGTGGGAAAAAGTTTTTCCAGGTGAGAGTCGCTCAATGTGGATGACGAGGCCCCGCCCCCCTCCCCCCGTACGCTGTCCTGGTTTTGACAAACACAAATCTGGTCACACTGACCTGTATTCACCTGAGTCATGTCTTTTAATCCAACACAAGTTGAACCACATCAGCGACACAAGAGCTGGAGTTTTATCTTCACTTAGTTTATGTAAATTAGTGATGTGGTTTTAAGTTTTGTTTCTGTGAGATTTGAACAAAACTGAATTAAACACATTATAATGTCAAACAGCTGATGTGGATCTAGAGTCGTTATGTTTATATGTCGTAAAGTTGAATTTATTTATGCAGATTAGTGCAGATAGTAATAATAATGATGATCGTAAAAAAACGTAAATGATTAATCGATCGTTAATTCTTCCGACAATCGATTAAGAAAATTTCATCGAATGCCCGTCCCTAGCCAGGACACTTGGATCTGTGCTCCTGAAACTGATCCATATCTGATCTTTAACATGTGACTTCAGTGTGAAAGGTCAAAGTGCATTCATCCACCTACACGTTATCAACAAGACACAAACGTCACTATTCTGCACTGAAGTAGAGAAAACTGTTCATGATCCATGTGACTGAAGTGAAGCACATCTCCACTCACCACAAAACACCACCACCAAAAACCTGGTCCTTCTCCTTCTCAATCTCCTCCTTAAAACAAGTCAGTTGTTCATGTTGTGGCTCCGGTACGAGAGGAACTTTAAAATCTCCAGGTGCTCGATGCTGCGTCCATGTTTGTTCAACTTGTGTAAACACAGAGACGCTCGCTGCGGTTGACGTCGTCGTGTCTCCAGTGTCACATGTGGGACACTTTTGGACCGTTTAATGTTCACACTGGAGTCACATACAAGTCACATTTAACTGGAAATGTGAACGACCTCGAAAAAACATCGGATTTCACCAAAAAATCGGAATTGAGCGTTTAAGCCCTGCAGTCTGAACGTAGCCAAAGTGAAGACAAACTCCTGACCCCAGGAAACTGTAAAAGTGCAGCACACAGGTACAAGCTCGTCTCTGCACTTCGATAACCCTGAGAAAAAACTGAGACGAGAAAAAGACGAGAAGTCGACCAAAACCCCTCAGACGAGTTTAAGATACAAAACACGTTCGGATCATTGTTTCCTATTCACCATTTGTGTTTAAAGGAATTAAAATAATATTAGTGTCTGCTCAGATACCAGGACCAAGACCAGAACCAGGACCAGGCCCAGGCCCAGTCGAGGACCAGGACCAGGACCAAACCACACTCTCAGTGGGTGGGGTCTACAGTCTGTACCGGAGAGTAAAGTTCTCACCTTTCTGCCCGTGTCTGCTGCTGAACTTGTCTCCGATCTCAGGTCTTCTGGTTTGTCGGAGGAGGATCTTGATGAGGAAGGCGTCTTCAGCGTTGGACGAGATCATCACTTTCTCAATGTACGAGTCTGTGGACCCTTTGTAACTGAACAAGAGTTTAGACGATTAGACCCGAGTTCTGGACCCGTGTGCAGGTGTGTGTACAGGTGTGTGTACAGGTGTGTGTACAGGTGTGTGTACAGGTGTGTGTGTGCAGGTGTGTGTGTGTGTACAGGTGTGTGTGTGTGTGTGTGCAGTGTGTGTGTGTACAGGTGTGTGTGTGTGTGTACAGGTGTGTGTACAGGTGTGTGTACGGTGTGTGTACAGGTGTGTGTACAGGTGTGTGTGTGCAGGTGTGTGTGTGTGTACAGGTGTGTACAGGTGTGTGTACAGGTGTGTGTGTACAGGTGTGTGTGTGTGTGTGTGTGTACAGGTGTGTGTACAGGTGTGTGTGTGTGTACAGGTGTGTGTGTGTGTGTGTGTGTGTGTGTACAGGTGTGTGTGTGTGTCAGGTGTGTGTACAGGTGTGTGTGTGTACAGGTGTGTGTACAGGTGTGTGTGTGTGTGTGTACAGGTGTGTGTGTGTGTGTGTACAGGTGTGTGTACAGTGTGTGTGTGTGTGTGTACAGGTGTGTGTACAGGTGTGTGTGTGTGTGTGTGTACAGGTGTGTGTGTGTGTGTGTGTGTGTACAGGTGTGTGTGTGTGTGTGTGTGTGTGTGTGTGTGTGTACAGGTGTGTGTGTGTGTGTACAGGTGTGTGTGTGTACAGGTGTGTGTGTGTGTGTGTGTGTGTACAGGTGTGTGTGTGTGTGGTGTGTGTACAGGTGTGTGTGTGTACAGGTGTGTGTGTACAGGTGTGTGTGTGTACAGGTGTGTGTACAGGTGTGTGTGTGTGTGTGTACAGGTGTGTGTGTGTACAGGTGTGTGTACAGGTGTGTGTACAGGTGTGTGTGTGTGTACAGGTGTGTGTGTGTGTGTGTGTTGTGTGTGTGTACAGGTGTGTGTGTGTACAGGTGTGTGTGTGTGTGTGTGTGTGTGTGTGGTGTGTACAGTGTGTGTGTGTACAGTGTGTGTGTGTGTACAGGTGTGTGTGTGTGTGTGTGTGTGTGTACAGTGTGTGTGTGTACAGGTGTGTGTGTGTGTGTACAGGTGTGTGTGTGTGTACAGGTGTGTGTGTGTGTGGGTGTGTGTACAGTGTGTGTGTGTGTGTGTGTACAGGTGTGTGTGTACAGTGTGTACAGTGTGTGTGTGTGTGTGTGTACAGGTGTGTGTGTGTACAGGTGTGTGTGTGTGACAGGTGTGTGTGTGTGTGTGTACAGGTGTGTGTGTGTGTGTACAGTGTGTGTGTGTGTGTACAGGTGTGTGTGTGTACAGTGTGTGTGTGTACAGTTGTGTGTGTACAGTGTGTGTGTGTGTTGTGTGTGTACAGGTGTGTGTACAGTGTGTGTGTGTACAGGTGTGTGTGTACAGGTGTGTGTGTGTGTACAGGTGTGTGTGTGTACAGGTGTGTGTACAGGTGTGTGTGTGTACAGGTGTGTGTGTGTACAGGTGTGTGTGTGTGTGTACAGGTGTGTGTGTTTACCTGATGGGCACGTCTCTGTACTGGGGCTGTCCGGGTTGGGTGCTGCCCTCCAGTGGTGTCTGGGTCACAGTTGGCATCGACTTGTTCACCAACACCTGTTTGTTTTCTACTTTCTCACCTGGAACATGAGAAGAGAACAGAAGAGAACAGAACAGAACAGAAGAGAAGAGAACAGAAGAGAACAGAACAGAACAGAACAGAAGAGAACAGAAGAGAACAGAAGAGAACAGAAGAAGGAACAGAAGAGAACAGAACAGAACAGAAGAGAACAGAAGAGAACAGAACAGAACAGAACAGAACAGAACAGAACAGAACAGAACAGAATCTTCAGCTTCAGCAAGAAACAAAGTGTAGAAATAAACTCTGACATTCACTGATGTAAAAGTCTGAGTTAAGCTGTTTGGACCAGAGGCCCCCGACTTTTTTAGGACCACGGACGGTTTTATGTCTGACAATATTTTGTGGACTGGGGGCTGCGGTGGATAAGACCTGGTTTAGACCTGGTTTAGACCTGGTTTAGACCTGGTTTAGACCTGGTTTAGACCTGGTTTAGACCTGGTTTAGAGGTTTAGACCTGGTTTAGATGTTTTAGACCTGGTTTAGACCTGTTTTTTAGTCCTGGTTTAGAGATGCATATGGAGGGGAGGGTTGCTCTTTCACGGGCTGGTTACGGATCCGTGGCCCGGGGGTTGGGGACCCTGGTTTTAAACTGCTTTTAAACACACAGCAGGAGCGAGAATACAGTTTGAACGGCTCTGGATGTGAAGAGGACAAACTTTCACCGGAGACCACCACATTTCAAAAAAATATAAATATAAACACAGATACAGAAACGCAAACACGTCCTCTGGGTACAGAAGCTCGAGGGGAGGAGCATCTCTTTGGGGGAGGAGCTTCTCATTGGAGGAGGAGCGTCTCACCGGGGGAGCAGATGCCGTCGGCGTCCAGGATGTTGTGCCTCCAGATGGGTTTCCGGGTGGCGGCGTCGAGCATCGGGCCCATCACTTTATCAAAGGTTTGGTTTGTGTAACGTCTCAAAGTGCATTTGGTATTTTTATACACGAGACACCGGCCGAAGCCTGAGGGGAAACACAAATATAACAAGATTTAAACTTGCAAAACACAAATGAAACAGAATTTAAGACAGAGGGCAGTGGTCTGTTTTAGGGCCTGACAGATATGTTTTTTTTTGCGGCTGATATGATTCAGATAAAACCAGAGTTGGAGGAGCCGACAGCCGATATTTAATGATGTAAAAGTTCACAATAAAACTTCGGTTTGGCTCTGCTGGATTTTAAATTAAGTTTGTTTACGTGACATTTCCTGTTATTCTGCATCTTTACATCATATTTAAAGACAGTGGGTCGAACTAATGGCATTTTTGCATCACATTCTGACCTGTACAGAAAATATAAACAACCAATATCAGCCTTTATCAGTAAACACGAGCATGTCACAGTAATTAACTGTACGCGTAAATGTGGATCATTCACACGTCTCATGTACACATCAGTGCAGGTCCAGTTACATGTGCAGACACTAGTGTCACTTTACACTAGAACACAGGTGTCAAACATACGGCCCGGGGGCCAGATCCGGCCCTCCAAGACCTTTAATCTGGCCCTCGGCTGATTTTCTACTAAAATATTTTAATGATATTTTCTATTAAAATATTGTTAATTTTCTGTGGTGTTTATCACAGCAGCGTCTCCAGCGTCTCTGTACGTGGCCCCTCCCACCAGAGCAGCACAAATGAAGACTTGTCTCTTTCCAAACGCTCTTAAAGGACGATCGTTTTGACTGTTGACCGTGACACCCTCATCAGAAAAATGTCCAACATGAGAAAAGTGGAGCCGAGTGCAGGATTTTACAAGAAAAAATGAACTTATTCCTATTTACATATAAGTTAATGTAATGTAAATTTTAAAAAAAAATTCTGTAATAGATTTGTGTTTCTCTGCACAAATATTTGAACTTATTGTTATTTTTGGGGTTTATATGACATGAGTCTTCTGATCCGGACACTTTGGGATCAAAGTATGTTGGATACGGCCCCCGGACCAAAATGAGTTTGACACCCCTGCACTAGAACAATGTCAGAAAACAAACTGTTTATGTGGAGCTACAGCAGCTAAACAACGAGAAAGAACCAAAACCCTCACACAGGCTCCTCTCAGATCACAAGGCTGCACTAATAAATGTCCTGACTCAAAAAGATCGTCTGTAAATATAATCCAGCNTAATAGAAACACCCGTAATGAATAAATGCTAGGTGGAAATGTTTACAGTCATACCATGGAACATCTGAAGCATAGCAATAACATCTCCATGGAGACAAGCAGGTGATGGACCCTCCACCAGAAAAGTTGAGCACTGCACCTTTAAACTTGGGCATATAATAGTGCATAAACTATATAGCAAAATTTCATCTTATTAGGTTATTTTTTCAGACCAAGAGTTTGTTTTCATACCTGACAGTTTCGACTCTTCCTCAGAGTGATCACAAAATACGGAAACATGCCCACGGGACTATAAACCAGGAAGAGGGGCTTTTTTACTCTCACACACCTGGGATACTGTCCTGAGGAAGTCGGACTGCAGATGGCGCTGTCATCCTGCCTCCACTGGTAGGAAGACAGCGCCAAAACCTGTATAAATCAAGCTGACCGGACACATCACAGCAACATCACGTGACCACTCAAACTGTCAGGTATGAAAGCAAAACTCTTGGTCTGAAAAAATAACCTGATAACACAAATTATCAGAAGACCAAATGAACCTCATTGGACTAGTAATATTTCAGTAATATTAAAGTTGTTTTTTTCGATTGTTTGCAATAGTACGTGAACCTCAACAAGACATTTTAACGTGGAGCACATTTTTAGAGACTTGCAAAAATATCAAATTGTTATCAAGATTATCTAAAATATATATTATGCACAATCCTAATCTTTCAGTTATTTAATGTTGGCAAAGCTATAAATAATTAGATACTGATCAATACTTAAACTAGTATCAAAACTAGATACTCATTTGGGCATTCACAGGACACAAATTAATCTTTCCTGAATCACTTTAGAATTAACTTGAGTTGTATCAGAACAAAAATAAGCACACATAGACGCACATGGACCACTGTGGAACCCAGATGGACCACTGACGGATTACATAAATATAAGACCACATGATATTATAAAGAAAGCTGAAAATCACACTAAACCGACACAGTATATTGAAGTTCCTTTTTTCACAAAAGAGATTACTGAATATATTTTGATATTCTCGCAAAGTCCTGGTTTAATTCTGTTATAAATCTGATTCCACATCTCCAGACCGCAGTGCCAACAGTTCATATTATATTAGTCCTCTACATTGATCCATTTATAATCTAATGTGTGACCATCAGCCTGAGAGCAGCTTCACCACCTCATTAGCACCAAGTCTGCCTGTGACTGTTCATACCAGCACTTACTGTTACGCACATGCAAAAATACGCCCCAGTACTGTACAAGTCTTCAGGACAAAATGCAAAAAGGAAACAGTGAAAGCATGCACACGAGAAACTAAATACAAAGAACAGAAGCAACTCAAATCAGCCATTTCTGATCAGTGTCAAAGAGAGAACCACATTATGGACTGGGATGGTGCAAACATCATTAGACATTATAGAGGACAACAAACATCGCCACTGGAATAAGAAGGCAATCAAAATACATAAACATGCCCATGGGACCATAAACCGGGATGAGGGGTCCTTTTTACTGTCTCACATTTGCCTCTATTTTATAGGAAGACAGTGGCCAAAACCTGTTTAAATGAGCTGACCAGACCACTCTGAGGGAGTGGCTGTGCAATTAATCGAATTTTGATTGTTGATTTGATTTCAATCTGTGTGTCAAACAATCTCTAAACTCATATAATCAAGTTGAAACGATAAAGCTTAACTTAAGTTTATTTTGGGATATTTTTTTATATAAATAAGTATTTTTTTTAACTATAGAGATTGTAGAACACCTGGATATATAGTTTATTTTGGATACATTTATGTTTCTCTATGCCGTATTTCATGTTCAAAGTATAGTTTATTCATTTTATGTTTTATACATCGCAAAACTGCTCTAAGGTACATATTTGTAGCCTATATTTATCTTCAATTTGAAAGTTTTGAGTAAATTAATCAATAGCAAAGTAGGGTTTTCTTGAAAGAGAGAAATGCTGAATAAATGCATCCTGTAACTAAAAAATAATCATGTAAAGAATAATGATAATTTCAATATTGACAAAAATAATCATGATAAAACAGTTTTTTTTTTTTCTATTATCGAGCAGCCCTATAGTGAGCAGTCGAAACTGTCAGGTAATCTAATAAAATTAATTCTCGGAAGACCAAATGAACCGCGTTGGACTAAGTCTGTAGCCTGTTATGCTCAAATACACTTCAGTATGATACAAGTCTGGTTCAGTCCTGGTTTAGCGCGGGTTTAGTCCCGGTTTAGTCCTGATTTAGTTCTGGTTTATTCCTACCTTTATCTGTCCCTCATTCCTGTGTACTCCTCATGTTGTATGGAGTATAGTTCCAGTGCAGTGTAGTTTATTTAAGTAGTTCTTTCTGTTACATTGGCTGTTAGTTTTGTGATAGTGGGTCCAGAGTCCAATTTTACGTCACAGATCCAGGGCGTGGACTGGTTCTTATCATCTACATTCAACAAAAGGACTAGACAAGGACTAAAGCAGGACTAAAGAAGGGCTAGATAAGGACAAAACCAGGGTTAAAAAAGGAGTAAACAAGGACTAAACCAGGGCTAAAAAAGGAATAGATAAGGACTAGACCAGGGCTAAAGAAAGACTAAAGAAGGACTAGATAAGGACTAAACCAGGGCTAAAGAAGGAACAGATAAGGACTAAGCCAGGGCTAAAGGAGGATTAGGTAAGGACTAAACCAGGGCTAAGGAAGGACTAAAGAAGGACTAGACAAGGACTAAAGTAGGACTAAAAGAGGAGTAAATAAGGACTAAACCAGGACTAAAGCAGGAAAAAAGGAGGACTAAACCAGGACTAAAGAAGGATTAGATAAGGACTAAACCAGAACTAAAGAAGGACTATTTAAGGACTAAACCAGGACTAAAAGAGGAGTAAACAAGGACTAAAACAAGGCTAAAGGAGAAGTAAACAGGGACTAAACCAGGACTAAAGAAGGACTAAAGGAGGACAAAACATAATGGTAAAAGGGCACATTTTCATATAGCACTTTTCCACCTTCAAGGCACTCAAAGTGATTTACATCAAGAAACCACTCACCCATTCACACACACATTCATACACCAGTGTACGCAAACACTCAACCAGGACTAAAGGAGGATTAAATAAGGTCTACAGCAGGACTAAACCAGGTCTAAAAGAGGTCTAAACAAGGACTAAACCAGGGCTAATGGAGGACTCATCCAGGTTTTATATTTTTAATCTGAAAACTTAAACTTCTTCATGACTCTTGCTTCTTCATCATCTGGTCGTGCTCTGGGGCAAACTGACAGATGTGGAGGCAGCACCAGGCTCCAACCACTGATCCCCCAGTCTCACTCAATCATTGATGCACAAGTTAAGCGCCCTGAAGGTTTGGCTTGAAGGTGCACTGTGCAACTTTTCTATGTTATGTTACTATGTTACTGTTTTGTCTTGAATGTCCCAGTATGGCATTAAACACATCCATCTCAATATATAAATATGTGTTTTTTACTGACCTAAAAACTTGCATTCTTACTATGAGTGAGCTCGCCTCTTCACAGATCACGTAAACTGACCATGTGGTGCCAACAGCAGTCTCCTGTAAAGCTCACTGAGTGTCATGGCATACTGTGGAGCATTCCAGGCAGTATTTCCATGAAGAGAAGCAAGTGATGGACTCTCCACCGGAAAAGTTACACAGTGCATCTTTAAGAGAACAACGGTAGCATAAAACATAATGGAGATCAAACTAGGACAGCAAGATTAATCGCAATTTGAATCGTCGCAATTAACAAATCATAAAGACCCTGTAGTTTGAAATGCATATTATTCTTATATTAGTTTGTCAGAAAAAACACAATTACCAGTTACTGTCATAGATACTGATACAATTCTAAGTTGTTTTTCCATGTGTGAGCAGTGGTTTTAAAGGATTAAGAATGTGTAATATCATAATACACTATACTGACAAATACAAGGTCACGTGACTGTGCTGTTAAAGGACAGTATGGTGCATGTCCTGGTTTCTCTGCTCTTATCCATAGACTTGATAAGCCTATATAAATGGACCTAGCTAACCCACTATAGCCTGATTTATCAGACGGTTTCACTTCGTGGAAACCGTCTGACTTCGTATCATTAGGATTTGTTCACCCAATGGTAGGCGGGTACTTTTTTATTTAACCAATTGTTGCTATTTGATCTTGGTGTATGTAATGCACCAAATCCCGTAGGAAGAAGGACAATAACGTCTTTCCCCTTGATAAAATTCACCAAACATTCTCTTTGTTCCTGCTTTAAATCCTCGATCTCAGAAAACATTGTCAGCACAGAATGTATGGCTTCGTCTACATCCATCTCGACCACTTTGTTTACTGTTGTGCTGTACCACAAAAGGGACCCAGACAGGTGCTTGAGTTTGATGTCATGGCTCCACAGCTCTTCACAGCTCGGCGCGCGGTCTACGACTTTCAGGATTCTTGCAAACCGTCTAATGTATTCCCATTCCTGACCTAGTCGCTGGAGAGAAATTAAATTGAGTGGAGGCACTAGGTGGTGCCAGCCTGGCTAAACCTACTAGCCACTGTGTTCCAAATAGGAAGTGAGCATGGGGACACTTCCGGCTCCATCAACTCTGGCTCCAATTGACTATACATTGAAAAATTGTCACCCCTCTCTCTGTAACTACAGCAGTGAGTCTTAGTGAGTTCTTATTAACCCACTCAACATGATCCTGGTGTTTTTATTTAGCTATTTTCAGTAAGTAAATTCCTATTCCTAATATGGAACTCAGCTCCAAATTCACCCAATAACCGCTGGCCTTGTGAGCTTCATTTGACTGGGGCCAAACACTATGGTCGACTTCTTTATACAGTCTATGGTCCTAGCTACATAGATGTTAAAATGCATTCTTTATTCAACATTGACTGACAGATAAATTTTGTTTTCTTTATTTTGCAGAAGGCTTCTCAAAATTATCAAAAATCTGATACTAATTGATACTGAAACTAGATACTCATTTAAGCAAGTATCACAGGACAGAAATGAACCTTTTCCTGAATAGCTTTAGAATGATCTTGAGCTGTATCAGAACAAATATAAGAGCACATAGACTTGTATGTGCACATCGACCACTGTGGGACCTACCTGGACCACTGAGGGATTACACACATATAAAGCCACATGGTAATATAAAAGAAAATGCTATGATTTAATGTTGAAAATCACATTATATTGTCTAAAAAAAATGTGTTTGTTATTATCATTGTGGTATCGGAATCGGTAATTGAGTATCGAGTCTATTCCTTAGTATCAAAATCAAGTTTAAAATGTTAATATTGTGACAAAACGTTGCAGTACCTCTGTAGAATTATAATAGAAGTCAAATTGTTCAAAAAAACAGAGACTTTATGTGAAACTGGCTGTTCAATGAGCAATTGTACTTGACTTGTAGGATTGAGATGTGGAGCAGTATTTTTCCTTGTTCTGGGTAAAAGTAACAATCCTGAACCTGTTTCTGTCTGTGCGTCTCTCGCTGCTGGATTTAATGAGGCTGAACTCTCGCTCTCTGTTTGAACTATAGGATCTTTCTCTCTCCTGCTCTCTCTCACTGTATATCTCAGTGCTCTCTCTCCTTTCTCCTTTACTCATCTCTTTCTCTCCTCTTCTATTGCCCTGTATATCTCTGTGCTCTCTCTCTCTCTCTCCTTTCTTGTTTACTCATCTCTCTTCTTCTCTCTCCCTGTATATCTCTGTGTTCTTTCTCCTTTCTTCATCTCTTTCTCTTCTCTTCTATCACCCTCTACTTGGGGTCTCTCTTCTCTCTTTACCTGTATTTTGAGCTCTCTCACTCTCTTTCTCACTCCATTATCCTCTGTCTCCCTGCCTCTATTTGAGCACTTTCGCTCTCTCTCTCCATCTCTATCTATCTATCTATCGCTCTATCTGTGTTTGAGCACTTTCTCTCTTTCTCTCTCTATTTCAGCACTTTTTCTCTCTCTCTTTCTCTCACTCTCTCTATCTATCTTTCCCTACCTCTGTTCGATCTCTCTCCCTATCTGTATTTGAACACACTTTCTCTATCTCTCTCCCTATCTGGATTTGAGCACACTCTCTTTTTATTTGTCTCTCTACCTCTATATTAGCACTTTCTCTCTTTCTTTTTTCACTCTCTTTCTCTCTCTCTCCCTATCTGTATTTGAGCACACTTTCTCTCTTTTCTCTCTCTATCTGTATTTGAGCAGGCTCTTTTTATTTCTCTCGCTCTCATTACCTCTTTATTAGCACTTCCCCTCTCTCTCTTTCTCTCTCTCCCTCTCTCCCCCCTATCTGATTTATTTGAGCATTCTCTCTTTCTCCCTCTCTCTCTATCTTTCCCTACCTCTATTTGATCTCTGTCTCTCCCTACCTGTATTTGAGCTGTCTCTTTCTCCCTCTTTTTCTCCCTCTTTTTTCCCCCATACCTGTATTTGAGCTCTCTCTTTCTCTCTCTGTGTCCCTCTTTCCTTCCCTCCTTAAACTGTATTTGAGCACTCTCCCTCTCTCGCCCTCCCTTTTCCTGCCTGCCAGTATCTCCGTGGAGTGTAATGAGGCTGAACTGTGACTTTTTGACACAAAAGACCAAAATAACTCGGACTAAGAAAGAGAGAGAGAGACAGAGAAAGAGAAAGAAAGAGAGAGAGAGAGAGCTCCTTCAAATTCAAGACTCCAGCTTCATCTGCAGCTCAGCCAAAATATGGGCCATTCTTTTTTGTATATAATGTGAAAAAACAACAGATTAGCTTTATATGTATTCCTTATTTTCTTCACTCATAGTAATTTAAAAGGCGTGAAATCAGCAGAGAAAAGCAGGACAAGAGTCAAACCCCCCCGTCCCCCGACCCCCCCAGAGGCGCTTCATCACCCCCGTCACCCTCCAGACCCCCCCCCCCAGCCTCCATCACTCGACACTCGACCCCCTGTTGCCCCCCCCGCCCCCCTCCTCTGGTTAATCAGTGACGGGTTCGGGTCGTCGTCCCTCAGGATCCACACAGTAAAACCCACACGGAGACGAGTCTTAAAGAGGCTCCTGTTCCTTTTGTTCTTCTAATAAAAGTTCATGTTTTGGCCGCGGCACAAACGCTGTTGTGTTGTCGTTACCGTGACGACAAAACTCTCAAAGTCGTGAAAAGAATTTAAAAACTCATCAGGTGAATAATTAGAGCGACAGAAATGTGTTAAAGGCTGCGTTCAGTCTGCACCTGAAGTTCCCAAATCTGATTTTTTGGCTCTATGTTCCTGTATCTGATCTTTTAATGACGTCTGAACCACACAGATCTGATTTTTTTCAAATGTGACCCAGGACTAGGGATGGGCATGATTAATCAATTAATCGATAATTGATCATTAAAAATTTCATCGATTACGTTCATATTAATTGACAAACTGAAAGTATGTTTGTGTGTCGTGACCAAACAGGTGTGTACATGTGTCTCTGCATCAGAAGGAGCGAGACACAAACAGTGGGTCAGTCTGTAACGAACCGAAGCACAAATGTGGATTTAACCAGGATTTGTAGAAGAAATTCCACACTTTCCGTTGCGTTGGGACAAGTGTGTGAGTCCATGTGCACAGTGGATAAAGCAGCACATATGTTTCTGTGTCCAGTGGGAAAAAGTTTTTCCAGGTGAGAGTCGCTCAATGTGGATGACGAGGCCCCGCCCCCTCCCCCCGTACGCTGTCCTGGTTTTGACAAACACAAATCTGGTCACACTGACCTGTATTCACCTGAGTCATGTCTTTTAATCCAACACAAGTTGAACCACATCAGCGACACAAGAGCTGGAGTTTTATCTTCACTTAGTTTATGTAAATTAGTGATGTGGTTTTAAGTTTTGTTTCTGTGAGATTTGAACAAAACTGAATTAAACACATTATAATGTCAAACAGCTGATGTGGATCTAGAGTCGTTATGTTTATATGTCGTAAAGTTGAATTTATTTATGCAGATTAGTGCAGATAGTAATAATAATGATGATCGTAAAAAAACGTAAATGATTAATCGATCGTTAATTCTTCCGACAATCGATTAAGAAAATTTCATCGAATGCCCGTCCCTAGCCAGGACACTTGGATCTGTGCTCCTGAAACTGATCCATATCTGATCTTTAACATGTGACTTGAGTGTGAACGGTCAGGTCACATTCATCCACCTACACGTCATCAACAAGACACAAACGTCACTATTCTGCACTGAAGTAGAGAAAACTGTTCATGATCCATGTGACTGAAGTGAAGCACATCTCCACTCACCACAAAAACACCACCACCAAAAACCTGGTCCTTCTCCTTCTCAATCTCCTCCTTAAAACAAGTCAGTTGTTCATGTTGTGGCTCCGGTACGAGAGGAACTTTAAAATCTCCAGGTGCTCGATGCTGCGTCCATGTTTGTTCAACTTGTGTAAACACAGAGACGCTCGCTGCGGTTGACGTCGTCGTGTCTCCAGTGTCACATGTGGGACACTTTTGGACCGTTTAATGTTCACACTGGAGTCACATACAAGTCACATTTAACTGGAAATGTGAACGACCTCGAAAAAACATCGGATTTCACCAAAAAATCGGAATTGAGCGTTTAAGCCCTGCAGTCTGAACGTAGCCAAAGTGAAGACAAACTCCTGACCCCAGGAAACTGTAAAAGTGCAGCACACAGGTACAAGCTCGTCTCTGCACTTCGATAACCCTGAGAAAAAACTGAGACGAGAAAAAGACGAGAAGTCGACCAAAACCCCTCAGACGAGTTTAAGATACAAAACACGTTCGGATCATTGTTTCCTATTCACCATTTGTGTTTAAAGGAATTAAAATAATATTAGTGTCTGCTCAGATACCAGGACCAAGACCAGAACCAGGACCAGGCCCAGGCCCAGTCGAGGACCAGGACCAGGACCAAACACACTCTCAGTGGGTGGGGTCTACAGTCTGTACCGGAGAGTAAAGTTCTCACCTTTCTGCCCGTGTCTGCTGCTGAACTTGTCTCCGATCTCAGGTCTTCTGGTTTGTCGGAGGAGGATCTTGATGAGGAAGGCGTCTTCAGCGTTGGACGAGATCATCACTTTCTCAATGTACGAGTCTGTGGACCCTTTGTAACTGAACAAGAGTTTAGACGATTAGACCCGAGTTCTGGACCCGTGTGCAGGTGTGTGTACAGGTGTGTGTGTGTGTACAGTGTGTGTGTGTACAGTGTGTGTGTGTGTGTACGGTGTGTGTACAGTGTGTGTGTGTGTGTGTGTACAGTGTGTGTGTGTGTACAGTGTGTGTGTGTGTGTGTACAGTGTGTGTGTGTACATGTGTGTGTGTGTGTGTGTGTGTGTGTGTACAGTGTGTGTGTGTGGTGTGTGTACAGGTGTGTGTACAGTGTGTGTGTGTGTGTGTGTGTGTGTGTGTGTACAGGTGTGTGTGTGTGTGTGTACAGTGTGTGTGTGTGTGTGTGTGTACAGTGTGTGTGTGTGTGGTGTGTGTACAGTGTGTGTGTGTGTGTGTGTGTGTGTGTGTGTACAGGTGTGTGTGTGTGTGTACAGTGTGTGTACATGTGTGTGTGTGTGTGTGTGTGTGTGTGTGTGTACAGTGTGTGTACAGTGTGTGTGTGTGTGTGTGTACAGTGTGTGTGTACATGTGTGTGTGTGTGTACAGGTGTGTGTGTGTGTGTGGTGTGTGTACAGTGTGTGTGTACAGGTGTGTGTGTGTGTGTGTACAGGTGTGTGTACAGGTGTGTGTGTGTGTGTACAGTGTGTGTGTGGGTGTGTGTACAGTGTGTGTGTGTGTGTGGGTGTGTGTACAGTGTGTGTGTGTGTACAGTGTGTGTACAGGTGTGTGGTGTGTGTGGTGTGTGTACAGTGTGTGTGTGTGTGGTGTGTACAGTGTGTGTGTGTGTGTGGGTGTGTGTACAGTGTGTGTACAGTGTGTGTACAGGTGTGTGTACAGTGTGTGTGTGTGTGTACAGGTGTGTGTACAGGTGTGTGTGTGTGTGTGTGTACAGTGTGTGTGTGTGTACAGTGTGTGTGTGTGTGTACAGTGTGTGTGTGTGTGTACAGTGTGTGTGTGTGTGTGTGTGTGTGTGTACAGTGTGTGTGTGTGTGTACAGGTGTGTGTGTGTGTGTGTGTACAGTGTGTGTGTACAGTGTGTGTGTGTGTACATGTGTGTGGTGTGTGTGTACAGTGTGTGTGTGTGTGTGTACAGTTGTGTGTGTGTACAGTGTGTGTGTGTGTGTGTGTGTGTACAGGTGTGTGTGTACAGTGTGTGTGTGTGTGTGTACAGTGTGTGTGTGTGTACAGGTGTGTACAGTGTGTGTACATGTGTGTGTGTGTGTGTGTACAGTGTGTGTGTGTGTACAGTGTGTGTGTGTGTGTTTACCTGATGGGCACGTCTCTGTACTGGGGCTGTCCGGGTTGGGTGCTGCCCTCCAGTGGTGTCTGGGTCACAGTTGGCATCGACTTGTTCACCAACACCTGTTTGTTTTCTACTTTCTCACCTGGAACATGAGAAGAGAACAGAAGAGAACAGAAGAGAACAGAACAGAACAGAACAGAAGAGAACAGAAGAGAACAGAAGAGAACAGAACAGAACAGAACAGAACAGAACAGAACAGAAGAGAACAGAACAGAACAGAACAGAACAGAACAGAATCTTCAGCTTCAGCAAGAAACAAAGTGTAGAAATAAACTCTGACATTCACTGATGTAAAAGTCTGAGTTAAGCTGTTTGGACCAGAGGCCCCCGACTTTTTTAGGACCACGGACGGTTTTATGTCTGACAATATTTTGTGGACTGGGGGCTGCGGTGGATAAGACCTGGTTTAGACCTGGTTTAGACCTGGTTTAGACCTGGTTTAGACCTGGTTTAGACCTGGTTTAGACCTGGTTTAGACCTGGTTTAGACCTGGTTTAGAGATGCATATGGAGGGGAGGGTTGCTCTTTCACGGGCTGGTTACGGATCCGTGGCCCGGGGGTTGGGGACCCTGGTTTTAAACTGTTTTAAACACACAGCAGGAGCGAGAATACAGTTTGAACGGCTCTGGATGTGAAGAGGACAAACTTTCACCGGAGACCACCACATTTCAAAAAAATATAAATATAAACACAGATACAGAAACGCAAACACGTCCTCTGGGTACAGAAGCTCGGGGGAGGAGCATCTCTTTGGGGGAGGAGCTTCTCATTGGAGGAGGAGCGTCTCACCGGGGGAGCAGATGCCGTCGGCGTCCAGGATGTTGTGCCTCCAGATGGGTTTCCGGGTGGCGGCGTCGAGCATCGGGCCCATCACTTTATCAAAGGTTTGGTTTGTGTAACGTCTCAAAGTGCATTTGGTATTTTTATACACGAGACACCGGCCGAAGCCTGAGGGGAAACACAAATATAACAAGATTTAAACTTGCAAAACACAAATGAAACAGAATTTAAGACAGAGGGCAGTGGTCTGTTTTAGGGCCTGACAGATATGTTTTTTTTTGCGGCTGATATGATTCAGATAAAACCAGAGTTGGAGGAGCCGACAGCCGATATATTTAATGATGTAAAAGTTCACAATAAAACTTCGGTTTGGCTCTGCTGGATTTTAAATTAAGTTTGTTTACGTGACATTTCCTGTTATTCTGCATCTTTACATCATATTTAAAGACAGTGGGTCGAACTAATGGCATTTTTGCATCACATTCTGACCTGTACAGAAAGTATAAACAACCAATATCAGCCTTTATCAGTAAACACGAGCATGTCACAGTAATTAACTGTACGCGTAAATGTGGATCATTCACACGTCTCATGTACACATCAGTGCAGGTCCAGTTACATGTGCAGACACTAGTGTCACTTTACACTAGAACACAGGTGTCAAACATACGGCCCGGGGGCCAGATCCGGCCCTCCAAGACCTTTAATCTGGCCCTCGGCTGATTTTCTACTAAAATATTTTAATGATATTTTCTATTAAAATATTGTTAATTTTCTGTGGTGTTTATCACAGCAGCGTCTCCAGCGTCTCTGTACGTGGCCCCTCCCACCAGAGCAGCACAAATGAAGACTTGTCTCTTTCCAAACGCTCTTAAAGGACGATCGTTTTGACTGTTGACCGTGACACCCTCATCAGAAAAATGTCCAACATGAGAAAAGTGGAGCCGAGTGCAGGATTTTACAAGAAAAATGAACTTATTCCTATTTACATATAAGTTAATGTAATGTAAATTTTAAAAAAAAATTCTGTAATAGATTTGTGTTTCTCTGCACAAATATTTGAACTTATTGTTATTTTTGGGGTTTATATGACATGAGTCTTCTGATCCGGACACTTTGGGATCAAAGTATGTTGGATACGGCCCCCGGACCAAAATGAGTTTGACACCCCTGCACTAGAACAATGTCAGAAAACAAACTGTTTATGTGGAGCTACAGCAGCTAAACAACGAGAAAGAACCAAAACCCTCATACAGGCTCCTCTCAGATCACAAGGCTGCACTAATAAATGTCCTGACTCAAAAAGATCGTCTGTAAATATAATCCAGCATGTTGCCGCAGCAGTGTGTGTGTGTGTGTGTGGACAGTTCAGCGACACAGACAAATTACTCCGCAGATAAATATTGACATAAATACAGGACATTTATCTCCGTAAATTGGATTAAATGTGGCTCGGGAGTTACCAGTATCTCTCCACCTCCTTCCATGTAGCTCGCCAAGAGATTTCTGAATTATATATACTGGGCTGAATAACTCAGATTTGATTGATTAAATTCCTATTTCCTTTGTAAATGTATAATTTTTATGCCTAAGTGTGTGCACTGATAACTGGATAACGGGTTGTGTTTTATAGACATCAAACTCTACCTAATCTTCGGCGTACTATGGTGCTTATATTTTATACATTTCTGGTGACCCCAAAAATGAGCAGCTCTCTGGCATTTTTGTTTTACAAAAAGTAGCTCACAGAAGGAAAAAGGTTGGAGACCCCTGATATAGAGAGTCTGAGATTTATAACGAGGTATAACCTGCCCACGTGGACTATCGGCCCAGATCAGCAAGATTTAGGACGATATGTCTCCAAGTGCCCAGATCGACCCACTGCCCTAGTCTGTAGAACTCTGTAGAACTCTGTAGAACTCTGTAGAACTCTGTAGAACTCTGTAGAACTCTGTAGAACTCTGTAGAACTCTGTAGATCGGACTCCTTTCACCTGAAACGTCTCTGGAGTTGAAGAATGGAACCACTTTCTGAAGCTGAAAATGTTTCACTTTTGTTTTTTTTATAATAACAGAAAAGACACTGGTCAGAGTCACATTTTTATAGAGTTTTTCCACCTTTAAGGCTCAAAGCGCTTCACACACACACGCGCACACGCACACACACACGGGGAGGGGGTTCAGTGTCTTGCCTAAAGATTCAAACCTCCAACCTTTGAATAAGAGCAAACGCTCGACCCACTGAGCGACTCTGTGCTAGTTTGTGTTTCACATTTACAGTGTATATTCATTTACAGTGGTTTTATGTGCATAGGCTGAGCCCTTACACATATATGAAGCATAAAGTGTCAGTCACACAAACTCCGCCCCCTTCTCAGAGTCACATGATCTCACCTCTGTCCAGTGAGGCCTTGTTGAGGACCAGAGCGTCTTCGATGTCGTAGCCGCTGTAGCTCATGACGGCCACAGTGGCGTTCTGGCCGGCGGGCAGCTTCTCGAAGTCTATGAGCTCGATGGTTTTGGTTTTGACCATGGGCTTCATGGGATACGCCAGCAGGTACATGAGTGTGTCGATACGATTCCTCTGGTTGTACCCGATCGTGCCTACAGGGGGCGAACACGAGCTCCTTTAACTCTGGATTCAACAAACCATGAAAACTATTCAAATGGTATTTTTACAAAACACATGAGACGCTGTTACAGGTGTGTTACAGGTGTGTGTGTGTGTTACAGGTGTTTTACATGTGTACAAGTGTGTGTGTGTGTGTGTGTGTGTGTTACAGGCGTGTATGTGTGTGTTAAAGGTATGTATGTTTGTGTTACAGGAGTGTAACAGGTGTGTATGTTTGTGTTACAGGTGTGTATATGTGCGTTTCAGGTGTGTTTCAGGTTTGTGTGTGTTACATGTGTTTTACATGTGTACAAGTGTGTTTGTGTGTGTTACAGGTGTGTGTGTTACATGTGTTTTACATGTGTACAAGTGTGTTTGTGTGTGTTTCAGGTGTGTGTTACAGCTGTGTATGTTTGTGTTACAGTGTGTGTGTGTGTGTGTGTATGTTTGCGTTACATGAGTGTTACAGGTGTACGTTTGCGTTACAGGAGTGTTACAGGTGTGTATGTGTGTGTTACTGGTGTGTTACAGGTGTATGTGTGCGTTTCAGGTGTGTTTCAGGTGTGTATGTGTATGTTTGTGTTACAGGTGTTTTACATGTGTACAAGTGTGTTTGTGTGTGTTACAAGTGTGTTTTGTGTGTGTTACAGGTGTGTATGTTTGTGTTACAGGTGTGTATGTTTGTGTTACAGGAGTGTTACAGGTGTATGTGTGCATGTTTGTGTTACAAGTGCGTTACAGGTGTATGTGTGCGTTTCAGGTGTGTGTTACAGGTGTGTATGTTTGTGTTACAAACACGAAGACAGACGACAGCGACACAGAAGAGTTTGCGTCGCTCTGTTTCCCTCCGGAGGTCGAGGCCGAGGCCGAGTTGTTCAGAAGTGACACCGAGGATGAAGAACTGAATGGATTTAGTGATTTGGAGTGAGATGGAGAGTTTGGTTAAACTTGTTCTGTTCTGTTGTTTTTAGTTTATCTGAAGAACTGTGAAATATGTGACGTTAACAGTCTGTTGTTCTGTTTTTATCTTCTTCATTATGCATGTTTTGGCTGGTGTGACTTACACTCTTGAGCGACTTATAATCAGAAAAATCCGTTGTGTACAAACGCGGCGTGTGTGTGTGGTTGACGTACCCATGGCCTGTTTGCCCATAGCGCACTGGTACGTGTTCCTGGGAGACTGGTTGTGGTGTGGGTACGGGATCAGACCGGCACAGACGCCCAGTAAAGTGAAGGGTTCGATCTCCAAGTGCGTCGTGTCTCTGCAATAATAAAAATATCGATTATCCCTCAGATCAGCGAACCCGAACCCCAGTCACAGATATATTGTGATTGACTTATGCATGTTTGATATTATGCTTGTCAATTATAATGCATAAGGCTCAGAAAATGTCCGTTTTCACCCACCCCCCATCTCCACCCACTCTCCAGTATTTACTTATTTATTTATTATTCAACAATATTCTGATGCAGAGTTATAAATATTAGATTAAAAACTGTCACATGCTCATTTTAAACAATAAAAACATGTAAATGAAAATACTCTGTAACTGTATTTTAGTACAGTTCTGCAGTATTTTAGTACAGTCCTGCAGTATTTTAGTACAGTACTGCAGTATTTTAGTACAGTCCTGCAGTATTTTAGTACAGTACTGCAGTTACGAAGACCAAACTGTAAAATAATCCTACATGTAAGAGTTTAATAGTGAAGACTCACTTGTGAATCATTCGTTCGTACACGGCGATCTGACAGTCGTTCTCCTCATTCACGTCCAGATACTCGACCAGACCCTCGTGCAGGAAGTCCTCAAACGTCCTTCACAGAAACAGGAAGTGCTCCAGTGAACAGTATTTAAAAAGGACACGTGTGAAACTCCCCTATAGGACACACTCACCTGTATCCTTGAGGACACTCACCTGTATCCTTGAGGACACTCACCTGTATCCTTGAGGACACTCACCTGTATCCTTGAGACAGGTCCTCCATGTGTTTGGTCTTCACCATGGGCTGTCCTTTTTTAACGATGATGTACGGCCTGGACAAAACCAGCACTTTCATATTATTATAATATTACAACACTTTATGATTAAAATAATAATAATAATAACAACAATTATTACTACTACTAAAATACAATAATAATAATCTTTATTAACTAAGATCAAACAAAACAGTCCATTTAAAGACGCTCTGTGGAACTTTTCTGGAGGTTCACAGTTTTGTCTTGAATGTTTCACAGTATGGCATTAAACTGATCTCCATGGAGACAAGCAGGTGATGCCAGTCTGGCCGAGTTACAGGTCAGATCTGTGGAGAGGAGTCCCTGTTCACAGTAAGAACGGATTTTTATTATTATTTATTATTTATTATTTGCAATAAAAAATAAATGAGTAAATGTGAGACAGAGTGACTGTGGAACATTCCAAGTGAGCTAAAAACACTAGAAAAGTTACACAGTGCATCTTTAATAAACAGAATCCAGATGAGAAGGTGAGGTTCTGGACCTGCAGAGTCGTCCTCCGTCAGAGGAAATGTAAACACAGCGGTCGCTCGTGTTCGTGGAGATCGACACAAACTCGTTTATAAAACCCGCCCTCCGCATCAGTCTGAAGGTGTTCACCAACTTCTGATGGTCTCTGATCACGCCCAGAATATTACCTACACAAAAACACAGGTGAGACACAGGTGAGAAAAAAGACCATCTGTATTACCTACAGAAAAACACAGGTCAGACAGGTGTGTGTGTGTGCATGTGTGTGTATAATCACAGAGCTCATATCCAGAAAAACAAATGTCCCTGTGTCTCGTGCGCGTCTCTCGTGCGCGCTCACCCTCTCTGTGGGTTTACCTCCCGCTGGTTCAGACTAATTAAACCTATGACAGTTCATAAACTGTGACGTTATCACACGACACAAACACACAGTAATTAAGGACCAACGTCTGACTCTAAAATAATACGACACCAAATGAACGACTTATCAGCTGAGCAGCAAAACACTGAACTAATGTTTCATGTTCACATGCGACGGTTTTAAAAAGCTCAGGATTAGACCCTCTGATCTGAAGTCCACAGTCACAGCGCTGCCATGTGCTGTTTGTTTGGTAAACTGGGCCAGGTTACACTTTAATATGGTTTAATATAGTGTAATATAGACTCATATAGTTTAACATTGATGCCATTGCTTAATATATCTTAATATAGTTTAATATAGTTTAATATTGTTGTATCTTGCGCCACGGCCATTTTTGCCTCTAAATGCTCTTAAAGTGAGTAACATGTTTTGATGATTATCTCAGTTTTATCTGGAGGAATAAAACCTGCTGTAAATATAAATTACAGTTTTACACAAATCAAGAAAAAAATTGTGAAGGAAAGTTGAAAAACATGATAACAGGAAGAAAAGAGTTCTATTTTAGAAAGTCCCACACTGGTGACATCACACTGGGAGAATTCTGCCAAAAAAAAAACCAAAACACACACACATTTTTCTGACACTATATATTTTTCTGTGATTTCAACACAATAAATAATTAATTGTTTTCTTGTAATTAGATAATATTAATCTCTGACATTAGAGGAGTCTGGGCCCAGTGTACCACATGGTTGCTATGGTAACAATGATGAAGTTCCCGAGTGTGATGAAACCTAAAAAATGCCAGTTGAGGAAAAAATAGTAAAATATTTAATGAAATCTTAAAGATAATTATCTTCACTGTGTTTTAGTAAAATTAGAGTCCAACTGTCACAGGGACTTTAGTGGGAATTATTTTCATTTCAATGGAGACTTCTCTGGAGGAGAACAGATGTACAGCCTCATGCAAAATAACACAACCTGAACGACGGTTTTACCATTGAGAAAGACGAGGAAGACGCTGGGGTACGACAGCTCTTCTCCACACAGGAGGTTCACGTCTTCTACTCCCAGGTTGAAGGCCAGTTTGATGATGGGGCCGTCCTCCATGTCTGTGGTGATGTGAGTCATCAAGGCCAAGTTCTTCACCAAACCACAGGCCTGAAGAACCAAGCAGAACAAGAGTTATTAAAGACGCCACAAACTGAGTCAAGGTTTGACTGAACACAGCAAATAACACAAAGCTGAAATGTTTGAAGAGTCCGATTCTGAGAAGTTGCAGTTTTTTTCTGCACAAACCTGTTCTCTGTGTTTCTTGAATTTGTTTAATTCAGATTTTTGTCAATTCTTCTGGACACGTTTAATATGAACTCTGAACAGAATCCTATTTTATAAAACAAATGTGACTGTAACGCTCGTCCGGAGAGTTAGGGTTAGTGTAGTGTTCATGTAAGGGCTAGAGTGTTGTCATGTTGTCGTGTGAGTGTGTGGGCATGTGTTGGCATGTGAGTGTGTTGTCGTGCTCACAGCCCTCACCTCTCCTTCAGGCGTGTCCGAGGGGCACAGCATGCCCCACTGTGATGGCTGCAGGGAGCGTGGGCCGCTGACCTTCCTGGTCTTCTCAAACTGGGAGGAGATCCTGGTCATCATGCCCAGAGCGGAGATGTATGAGAGACGAGACAGGACCTGGGTCACGCCCTGACGGTCCATCTTAAACCTCTTCAGAGACCAGTTTCCCTGTGGACCACAGAGCAGTTCACATTCAGTTCGCCTTCAGTTCACCTTCTTTAAGCCTTCATTACACCTTCTGTTAACCTTCATTACACTTTCCATTACTCCTTCCATTATACCTTCTGTTACACCTTGAGTACACCTTCTGTTACACCTTGAGTACACCTTCCGTTACACCTTCTGTTAAGCCTTCCGTTACACGTTCATTACTTCTTCCGTTACATGTTCATTACGACTTCCGTTACACCTTCATTACACTTTCCGTTACTCCTTCTGTTACACGTTCATTACAACTTCCGTTACACCTTCTCTTACGCCTTCCGTTACGCCTTCATTACTTCTTCCGTTACACCTTCTGTTATGCCTTCCTTTACACGTTCATTACGCCTTCCATTACACCTTACGTTAAGCCTTTTGTTACACTTTCATTACTTCTTCCGTCACACCTTCCTTTAAGTCTTCCGTTACACCTTCATTACTTCTTCCGTTACACCTTCCGTTACACCTCCATCACTCCTTCCGTTTTTATTTCCATTACAACTTCATTACACCTTCCATTACCATTTCCGTTCACCTTCATTACGCTTTTATTACACCTTCTGTTCACCTTCAGTTAATCTTCTGATGTTCTGCTAAATTAGAGATATATACAGGGTGTGTCCTCCTATGGGCACTTACGGTGGAGATGGCGTTCACCATGCCATTGGTGATCTGGTCCTGGCGCATGTGTTTGACGACATCAAACTGAGCCGCTCTCTGTTTGGGGATGATCTGATCCGCGATCTTCTTCAGCTCCGAGTTAAACTTTTTGAACAGGTCTTCAAACAGCAGAGAGAGGAGCTGCAAACAACCACAAGAAACATCAACCACAAGAAACATCAACTACGAGAAACACCAACCGCGAGAGACATCAACCACGAGAAACACCAACCACGTGAAACACCAACCACGAGAGACGTCAACCACGAGAGACGTCAACCACGAGAGACGTCAACCACGAGAAACACCAACCACAAGAGACGTCAACCACGAGAAACATCAACCACGAGAATCAACTACGAAAAACATCAACCACGAGAAACACCAACCACGAGAGACGTCAACCACGAGAAACACCAACCACGAGAGACGTCAACCACGAGAAACAACTACGAAAAACATCAACCACGAGAAACATCAATCGTGAGAAACACCAACAAAGAGAAACATCACCTACAACTGTGAGAAATATCAACCACAAGAAACATCAACCTCGAGAAAAATCAACCATAAGAAACACCGACAAAAAAAAACAGAACATGCACTGAAAATCACATATCACATCCTGATCAAAACTAGAAGTAAAATCGAAAACTAGATCCTCCTTTCATTGGGTATCGACAGGACAGCGGAACCTTTAGAAACTTTCCTAAACATGTTTAGAACGATCTGGAGTTGGATCAGAAAAACTATAAGAGCACAGAGACTAGTGTACACCCATGGACTAAACCAGGACTAAATCAAGGTCTAAACCAGGGCTAAACCAAGGTCTAAACCTGGACTAAAAAAAGTTCTACCATGTCAAGTGGAGAATCACAGTCTGTCATCTAAAGAACATGGGGGTTTTATTTTCATCGGGGGATCAGAATGACATCGAGTATTGAGTATCGAGTGTTGAGTTTTTTCGTACAGTGACACTGATCTGTTCCCTTTGTGTGTGTTTGAGGTTTAATAACTCTGTACGGTGTTTCTCTGATAACCCGGCGCTGCCCCCCCCCCCCTCGGCCGCGCGTTAGCATACAGGCTGCGCGCGTTAGCGTTAGCATACATCATTAGCACTCGTCCAAACAAACAGTCGGAGCCGCCGCAAATTAATAAAGAAACGAAGCTTCTGTTGTGCAGCCGGGCCAATTAGCTGAATGTCAGGGAGCCATAATTGAGAGAGGAGATTTCAGGCATCGTTAGTGTGTAAACCCCCCCCCCCTCCCCACCCCATGGTTCTAATATAGTCCCTGAGCCCCCCCCTCACGCTCTGAGTCTCTGCGCAGGTTGTGGGGGGGAAATTAAAGGCCTTAACACAGCAGTAATTACATTATCAGAGCCGTGTGGGGGATTAGCCCAATCGCTCCAGTCAAGGCACATTTCTATTGTCTTATATTCTCCGGCTGCACAGAAATCCTCCCGCTCCCTGAGCCTGGGGGGTTCAGAGGCGGCGGCGGCGGCGGCGTATCTCGCTCGTGACAAAGACGCGCTAAAAACATGGCGAGGAACAAAACAAAACAGAAAAACAAAGCTCACAAGAATAATGAGACTTATTATAAAGGCCACACAGAACAAAGATGCAGGTGAAAGATCGAGACGCAGCCAGAGCCCAGATCCAACGCTCCAAAAGCACGGCAAACACACGGCAAACACACGGCAAATACATGACAAACACACGACAAACACACGCAAATCGCACACCAAACACACGGCAAATACACACTAAACACGCCAAACACAGCGCCGTTATGAACAGTCCAGTATGTTCTGTTCTGTTTTCTGAGGTAACAGAAGTAAAAATAATAAATAAGTAATAAATAAAAGAGCCTCAAAGTTCGAAGGTTTTCATATAAAGAACATGTGTCCACGAAAGCGGCAACACAAATCTCTCCTCTGGAAACGATCTCCCTGTTAACGATGTCGGCAACAACATCTTAAATTATCTACTTTTAAACCAATAGAAAAGTGTTATAGAATATAGAATGTATTATATTATTTATTATAGAAATGTTATGTGTTGTTTCAGTTTGAAACAATAAACTCAACAAACTCACAAACTAAAATATCTAAATGTGCAACACTTTTCTGTGATATAAAACCTTAAACTGAAAAATGACAAAAAATCTAAACTGTTGTTTCACCTGTCTGGCTCGAGACACCTGTTGCTGTAGTAACCTCACCTGTCCGGCTCCAGGTGTCTGTTGCCGTAGTAACCTCACCTGTCCGGCTCCAGGTGTCTGTTGCCGTAGTAACCTCACCTGTCCGGCTCCAGGTGTCTGTTGCCGTAGTAACCTCACCTGTCCAGTTCCAGATACCTGTTGCCGTAGTAACCTCACCTGTCCAGCTCCCGGTTGGTTGTTGCCGTAGTAACCTCACTTATCCGTCTCCAGGCGCTTGTTGCTGTAGTAACCTCACCTGTCCGGCCAGCTCCAGGCGCTTGTTGCCGTAGTAACCTCACCTGTCCAGCCAGCTCCAGGCGCTTGTTGCCGTAGTAACCTCACCTGTCCAGCCAGCTCCAGGCGCTTGTTGCCGTAGTAGTCGCGGTCGTCCACCTTGTTGTCTCCTTGTGCGAGGATGACCCGCCGCACCATCACCGCCAGGTAGATGCACTTGGCCCGGAAGTTAAACTCTTTGACCTGAAGAGAAAATGATTCACTGTTGTTATTTTATTTAAACGGACAGAGTCGTGCTGAATGAGTCTCGTTTCCTCACCGGTACGTGCGTCAGGATGAGCGACGCCAGCAGCTCTCGCGCCTCCTCCATCTTGGTTTTTTTAGGCCCGCCCCACATGCGCTGCCGCCGAACTTTATTACCCAGAAACCTCAGGGCCTAAAACAAGAACGTTACAGATGACATCACAGCGTTCTGTAAACCCTGTGTGTGTGTGTGTGTGTGTGTGTATATGTAGTGTTGACAAACGATTAAAAAAAACTTGAGAGATGAATTATGATCTGTAATTAATTAATCTAATTAATCTCTTTTTTACTCTCACCTAAAAATTGCTGAGAAAAGCTTCAACTTGAGGTATTTTCATTTGAATTCATTATCACATTATTTTCATACTATCATTAAAGTTTTTATAGAAGTATCAACATTATTATTACTATTACTAATCTGCATAAATAAATTCAACTTTACAACATATAAACATAACGACTCTAGAGCCACATCAGCTGTTTGACATTATAATGTGTTTAATTCAGTTTTGTGCAACTCCCACAGAAACAAAACTTAAAACCACATGGCTCATTTGCATAAACTAAGCGAAGAAAAGAAAAAAAAAAAAAGAAAAAACGCTCTTGTGTCGCTGATGTGGTTCTGCTTCTACTAAAGGACTCGACTCAGTGGAATATAGATGTTCTTTCTGTGACAGAGGGATGTTGATGCTGATGGTGAGTCTGTTCTGTGTTTGTGTCGTGATGTTTTCAGAGATCACACACGTGCAGATTTATCACAGATGCGGCGAGAACGAGAATGAAAATTACAATTCTTTGCGGGAGCGAAGTGTTGATACAGATTTTATAATAAGGTAACTCACGTACAGAAACAGTAACGTTAGAGATTAAAAATAAGATTAACGCGATTAAAAAACATAACGTGCTAAGTATGACTGTAATTAATTAATCACAATTAACGTGATAATTTGACACCCCTAATGTATGTATGTATGTATGTATGTATGTATATGTATGTATGTGTATGTATATGTATGTGTGTGTGTGTTAAATAGGCTGAACTGGACAATAATAGAAAATCGATTATAGAAATGATCGGGTTTAAAGATCCAATATTATGCACCTTTTTTTTCTAATCCGTGTTTTTTCCTTTACACATAAACTGACTCCAGGTTTAAACAGAGAGAATCTTTAAAGTCCTGAGCTGCTGTATATATAGATTTATTTATTTTTAATGTATATGTTTGTATTTCATGTACAGTGTTGATCACACAGGAACAGGCTTCAGGAGATTAAATAATGAGCATGTCAAAAGCTCTGTTACACTTTGTGATGTCAGACAGTGGCTCCACAACAACAGAGGAACAAACGCACATTAGCATCACATTTGACCCAGCTCCTCCTGACCTTTGAACTCTGAAAGGGTCACAGAGGGGGGAGGGGGGGGGGACCACCCAGGGGCCCCCGCTGCAAATTAAAACTGTATTAAAGTGTCGTAAGAGAAACTGAAACGCATCGGAAAGTCTGAATAATTCATTCAAATTAAAATCATGATTAAAAAGACGAAAGACTAATAATTGTGTCAAATATCTGAAAACACTGAAGCTAATCTGATCCATTCTGATTCCTGTGACACGAAAAAAGATCAGACGACACGTCAGGACAATTAATGCAGAGATAACGAGATAAGAGCGTTTCTGGACCTTATCGAGCTTTAATTATACAGAGACGAGAGGACGGAGGGACGAGAGGACAGAGGGACGAGAGGACGGAGGACAAGAGGAGAGAGGGACGAGAGGACAGAGGGACGAGAGGACGAGAGGACGAGAGGACGGAGGGACAGAGGGACAGAGGACAGAGGGACAGAGGAGAGGACAGAGGGACAAGAGGACAGAGGGACGAGAGGACGGAGGACGAGAGGACAGAGGACGAGAGGACGAGAGGACAAGAGGACGAGAGGACGACGAGGACGAGAGGACGAGAGGACGAGAGGACGAGAGACGGACAGAGACGGAGGACGAGAGAGGACGAGAGGACGAGAGGACGAGGGACGAGGACGAGAGGAGAGGACGAGAGGAGAGAGGACAAGAGGACGGAGGGACAAGAGGAGACAGAGGGACGAGAGGACAGAGGACGAGAGGGACGAGAGGGACGAGAGGACAGAGGGACAAAGAGGGACAGAGGGACAAGAGGACAGAGGGACGAGAGGACGGAGAGGACGAGAGGACAGAGGGACGAGAGGACGAGAGGACGGAGGGACAAGAGGAGAGAGGGACAAGAGGAGAGGGACAAGAGGGACGAGAGGACGGAGGGACGAGAGGACGGAGGGACAAGAGGACAGAGGGACGAGAGGACGGAGGGACGAGAGGACGGAGGGACAAGGACAGAGGGACAAGAGGAGAGAGGAGAGACAAGAGGACAGAGGGACGAGAGGACAGAGGGACAAGAGGAGAGAGGAGAGACAAGAGGACAGAGGGACAAGAGGACAGAGAGACAAGAGGACAGAGGGACAAGAGGAGAGAGGAGAGACAAGAGGACGGAGGGACGAGAGGACAGAGGGACGAGAGGACGGAGGGACGAGAGGACAGAGGGACAAGAGGAGAGAGGAGAGACAAGAGGACAGAGGGACGAGAGGACAGAGGGACAAGAGGACAGAGAGACAAGAGGACGGAGGGACAAGAGGACAGAGGGACAAGAGGACAGAGAGACAAGAGAAGAGAGGGACAAGAGGACGGAGGGACAAGAGGGGAGAGGAGAGACAAGAGGACAGAGAGACAAGAGGACGGAGGGACGAGAGGACAGAGGGACGAGAGGACGGAGGGACGAGAGGACAGAGGGACAAGAGGGACAAGAGGACAGAGGGACAAGAGGAGAGAGGAGAGAGGAGAGGACAGAGGGACGAGAGGACAGAGGGACGAGAGGACGGAGGGACAAGAGGAGAGAGGGACAAGAGGACGGAGGGACAAGACAGAGGAGCAGAAGGGACGAGAAGGAGGGACGAGCAGAAGGAGGAGAGGAGGAGAGATGAAGAGAGAGGGACAGTCTCTTCCGTGTCCCTCAGCCTCTCCTGTGTCCCTCTCAGTGTCTCCTGTGTCCTTCAGTGTCTCCTGCGTCCCTCTCAGTGTCTCCTGCGTCCCTCAGTGTCTCCTGCGTCCCTCAGTGTCTCCTGCGTCCTTCAGTTTCTCCTGCGTCTCTCAGTGTCTCCTGCGTCCTTCAGTTTCTCCTGCGTCCCTCTCAGTGTCTCCTGCGTCCTTCAGTGTCTCCTGTGTCCCTCTCAGTGTCTCCTGTGTCCTTCAGTGTCTCCTGTGTCCCTCTCAGTGTCTCCTGCGTCCTTCAGTGTCTCCTGTGTCCCTCTCAGTGTCTCCTGCGTCCTTCAGTGTCTCCTGCGTCCTTCAGTGTCTCCTGTGTCCTTCAGTGTCTCCTGCGTCCTTCAGTGTCTCCTGCGTCCTTCAGTGTCTCCTGTGTCCCTCTCAGTTTCTCCTGCGTCCTTCAGTGTCTCCTGTGTCCCTCTCAGTGTCTCCTGCGTCCTTCAGTGTCTCCTGTGTCCCTCTCAGTGTCTCCTGCGTCCTTCAGTGTCTCCTGCGTCCTTCAGTGTCTCCTGCGTCCTTCAGTGTCTCCTGCGTCCTTCAGTGTCTCCTGTGTCCTTCAGTGTCTCCTGTGTCCTTCAGTGTCTCCTGCGTCCTTCAGTGTCTCCTGCGTCCTTCAGTGTCTCCTGTGTCCCTCAGTGTCTCCTGCGTCCTTCAGTGTCTCTTGTGTCCTTCTCGTGAATCATCACTGAAGTGTCGTCAAATAAAACCAGGACAGGAGCCTGGACGCTTTAGACTCTTCAAATGAAAGACACTTCAGAGACAGAAGACTCACGTAACGAGGGATGCACCTGCTGCACCTGCCGCACCTGCCGCCACATGTCCTTAATTAGAAGCTCAACACTTCGTCCCACGTGTCTCTGTCCTCTGATCTGTTCTCGTGTCGTCTCCTCGTCACAGACACAAACTGCACTTGTGTTTTGTTTCACTCACAAACCTGCACATTTAACACGAGCTCTTCTCTCAAACTGAAAACACTCTGTTCCACCTTGTGACGTCATCATGTGGTGATACAGGAAGTGCTCCATTGTGTTTTTAAACTCCACACACCTTCACTAGAATCATCTGGATCAGTTCATTTTCTGGAGTTGTGGATCTCGACTGAACTAAAGGGAAAAGGAGCTGAGAACTTGGAAACTACCACTTCATGACATCACGAGGTGGAACAGAGCGTTTGGAGCTTTGGAGATGTAGACAGACTCAGGTCCTGTTTACATGAGAACACTTGTGGGTAAAAACGACAAAACATTTGATGGGAAGTGTCTTTCGTTTAGACGGTGATGGAGTTTTTGGGACCTAAAAACGCAAAAATCTGAAACCACCTCCAGAGTGAAAAAGCTGAATAGACTCAGCTGTAGTGTTTCTGTTTCCACTGCCCAAGACGCAAAACTCTGGTCACATGTGCTCAGGTCGTGTACACGTTTACGTCTCATAAATCACCATCGAGCGTCACCACCGAGCCGCCTGACATGCACACAATCCAATTCCACACACTTTTACGTCACTGTATGCAGCAGATTTCCTCTTGAAAACACTTGTCTAAACGCAAAATAAAAAGTGAAAATGCCACTTTTGTGTTTTCTGTTCAGACCCTCATCATATAAACATTGCCTAATAATGAAGAGTTACTCAAACATGTGAATGAAACAACCACAACTCCAGCTGTTTATGACGAGGAACAGTAGAAAAAGGATTAAAGCTCAGAGTTTGTGAGACACTGGAGCTTTAAAGTTAGTCAGTCTGCTGCCCCCTAGTGCCTCCGCTTAGTTTAATTTCTCTCCAGTGACTAGATCAGGAATCAGAAAACACTCGAAGATTCACAAAAACACCGGAAGTGTGAGTTCGGGCTCAAGCCAATCAGAGAAGAGACAGACATTCTGTGTTGGCAACGATTCCCGAGATCGAGGATTTAAAGTCTGAACAAAGAGAATGTTTGGTGAATTTGGTCTCGGGGAAAAGACGTTCTTGTTCTTCTTCCTACAGGATTTGGAGCTTTACAAACGTCACGACCAAACAGCAGCGATTGGTTCAATAAAAAAAAGTCCCCGTCTACTGTCGAGTGAACGAATCCTAATGCTGCAGGTCACACGGTTTCCACCAAGTGAAACCAACTCATGAATCAGAACACTTTAAAGAACCACATGTTTGAATTGTAATATTAAAGTGAACACAGTTTAACTAAAACTAAAACTCACGCTGTTTGGAAATCAGTTTCATGACTCTAGTAGAGCCGCTCGATTATGGAAAAAATCATTATCACGATGATTTTGGTCAATATTGAAATCACGATTATTCAAACTATTTTTAGTGACCCTTTTTTGATTTATTCCGTATTTGTCTCTCTCAAAAAAACACTTTGTTATTGATAATTGACACAAAAATAAATATAGGCAACAAAAAAGAACCTTAGAGCAGTTTTGAGATGCATAAAACAAACTGAATAAAATAAAATAAACTTTGAACAAGAAATAAGGCAGAAAAACACAAATGTCTCCATATCCAGCTCTTCTACAATCTCTACATTTAAAAATAAAATAAATATACTTAATTATATCAAAAATATCCCAAAATAAACTTGGTTAAGCTTTAATCGTTTCAACTCGATTATATGAGTTTGGAGATTGTTTCGAAGAATCGAAATCGCGATCAGAATTCGATTAATCGCACAGACTTACACTGCGGAACATTTTAATCTAAAGAAAAGCATCTCCATGGCGACGAGCAGGACAGAGTCAGTCACAGGAAGGATGAATGTTTCCAGGACAATACAGACCAAAATAAACCTGATTTTTATCTCTTTTTTCCGTTGGCTGAAAAGTTACACAGTGGAGCTTTAAATCTATACATTTTTGACCGTCTGACCCACACGGTTTTGGTTTATTTTTTCTACTTTTGTGACGTTAACACTTAAATAAAGCTGAATAAAGTGAGACAGACGGCTTTAGAATTGTCACTGATGGCAGAAAAATAATGACTCTGTTGTGTTTTATTTCTGTTCTGGCGACTAAACTCACTGTTGTGTGTCGCTACGGCGCAGTGAGCATCGCCATAGCAACGGGTCAACAAACGAGCTGTGAGGAGGGACGAGCTTCAACAACACACAAATAACTTTAAACATCCTCAGACAAAAGGGTCCAACCAGAGTCCGTCCACACGTGTTTAATCCACACGTTCATGTGAATCGAACCCGACCTGTATCGATCCTTTTTAACAGTTTGGTCTTTTTTTAAATCTTGTTTTCATGTCGTTTTTACGTTTGGCGTCTCAGGCTGAGTTTAATGTTTAAACTGGGGGTTTGCGAGGCCCTGATTTATCGCGCTGACGGTGTTCTACGTGCAGCTCTACGGCGGAATGTTCAGGAGTTACCGCGGAGACAGAATGACACACACACACACACCAACGACGACAAACACGGACAAAAAAGTTTAAGATCGACTCGAGAAAAAACACAAAGTGAGAGACATCAACCCATTATTGGTTCAACTTAAAGTGTTGAAAATCCTCCTCAAAGTCGTGAGTAAATCAGGGATGTCCAGATCACTTTTTTTTTTCGAGCCGAGTCATTTGATTTTGAGTATCTGCCGATACCGAGTCCCGATCCGATACTTCTATAAAAATGATGAAATGAACTAAGAGCAAAGAATCAGCTCCAGGATGTTTGGGGGGATCAGACTGTGTTGATTTCATGTGTAGAATTTGGGCTGAAAATTTGAAAAATCAAATGTCCAAAACTAAAATTTTATCCACATTATTTATGTTTTGATTTGTTTTATAATGATTTAAATGTTTTTCTTATTTTGTAAAGCACTTTGAATTACTTTGTGTAACAATCGTGCTCTACAAATAAACTTGCCTTGCCTATTTTCTATTACTACTATTATATATAAATACTTTTATTATTTACTCTTTATAAATTTACTCTTTATCCGCATGTGTAAATAGTTTATATAGTTTAATGTAAAATGTCTGTGAATGAAAACGGAAATGGAGCAGCAGAAAGAAAGTTTGGAGTGAGAGAAACTTGTGACACCGAGAGGATGAACCATGAAACTTTCCTGAAGTCACTGGACGGAAGGACAATGTCTGGACTTCAGTGACACCGAAACCATCCTGTCGAGATTCAGAAAGACCCCGATAATTCGATAATTCTAACTGGAACTAGGGATGTAACAATAACTGAAAAATCATGATTTCGTATCGTCAAAGTCTCACAATAATATCATGAGCTGCCAAAATATATCGAATTACAAGTTCCTTTGCTTAAATTCATAGTTTTATAGAACCAACAGTTTATAAACATCAGGAACTACATTTCCCATGATTCATTTCAGCACAGACAACATGAAGAAACATGTTTTTACTTGAATTCTTGGGATTATGACGGAAATAATTCACACCAAAATCTTGTCAAGGTATTTTAAAAGTAAAAAAGTGTCTCATCTACAATTATATCAACCTCTTCTAAATATCACAATAAATATGATGCCAAGTCTGACGACAGCGACGCAGAAGAGTTTGCGTCGCTCTGTTTCCCTCCGGAGGTCGAGGCCGAGTTGTTCAGAAGTGACACCGAGGATGAAGAATTGAAGTGATTTAGTGATTTGGAGTGAGATGAAGAGTTTGGTTCAACTTGTTCTGTTCTGTTGTTTATAGTTTATCTGAAGAACTGTGAAATATGTGACGTTAACAGTCTGTTCTTCTCTCTTCTGTTGTTTTTACTACAACTTCACTTTACACAGGAAATGTCTGCTCCTGAACTCTCATTTTAGAAAATTTATTTCCCACAAAAAGTGTGACTTATAAATGTTTTTTCTTCCTCATTACGCATTTTTTGGCTGGTGTGACTAAGTCTACGTTCAGTCTGCACCTGAAGTGACCCAAATCTGATTTTTTGTCTCTATGTTTCTGTATCTGATCTTTTAATGTCAGTCTGAACCACACAGATCTGATATTTTCAAACATGACCCAGGACACTTGGATCTGTGCTCCTGAAACTGATCCATATCTGATCTTTAACATGTGACTTGAGTGTGAACAGTCAGGTCACATTCATCCACCTACACGTCATCAACAAGACACAAACGTCACTATTCTGCACTGAAGTAGAGAAAACTGTTCATGATCCATGTGACTGAAGTGAAGCACATCTCCACTCACCACAAAACACCACCACCAAAAACCTGCTCCTTCTCCTTCTCAATCTCCTCCTTAAAACAAGTCAGTTGTTCATGTTGTGGCTCCGGTACGAGAGGAACTTTAAAATCTCCAGGTGCTCGATGCTGCGTCCATGTTTGTTCAACTTGTGTAAACACAGAGACGCTCGCTGCGGTTGACGTCGTCGTGTCTCCAGTGTCACATGTGGGACACTTTTGGACCGTTTAATGTTCACACTGGAGTCACATACAAGTCACATTTAACTGGAAATGTGAACGAGCTCGAAAAAACATCGGATTTCACAAAAAAATCTGAATTGAGCGTTAAGCCCTGCAGTCTGAACGTAGACTTAGACTCCGGAGCCACTTACAGTCCAAAAACTACTCTCTTACTTACCCGAAATAAACACATAAATAAAAAATAATAATAATAAATGATAAAAAATGATGGTTAGGGTCAAGGGTCAGGGTCTGTGGTACCTGTGTTTGTGTGTATTAGGGTTAGGGTCAGAGGTTAGGGCAGGTGTCAGGTGTCGGGTGTCAGGTGTCAGGTGTCGGGTGTCAGGTGGTCAGGTGGTCAGGTGGTCAGGGGTCAGAGGTCAGGGGTACCTGCGTCTGTGTGAAGATCTGAGCTTTCTGACACTCTTCCAAACTCGGGGCGAAGCTGGCCATGACGTGCTCCTCTGTGCCGATCATCTGCACGATCTCCTGGTCACTCTCCACGCCCATGCCCTGGCGACAGGTGAGCGACAGGTGAGCGACAGGTGAGCGACAGGTGAGCGACAGGTGAGCGACAGGTGAAAAACCCATTACTACTGATCCACAAGGGAAATTATTAGAACACAGGAGTCACACATCACAATATAATAACAAAAAGTAAAAATATAAATACTAATAATAAAAATATCTAAATAAGAAACAAAAGAAAAGCAAGAGACAAAAGTAAAATAAAACATAATTATAAAAATGTAAAATGTA